AGTTTATGAGACAGTACTTGTTTTATACCGATGGAGCTAGGTATATATAATAGATAAAAAGTCTTGATTTATAATACATGAAATGACTATGTCCTTTTTTCTGTATTTCCGTCTTGTTATGAGCAAACCCGTCAGGGCACTGAATTACAACACTATGAAGACAATTTTGGACTTTGTAACGATGCACGTAGTTCGACATATTCACAACAGCGAAAAGGGAGCGAAGAACATACTTTTCTGGCAACTGAGTCACACACAAGTCAGTCTCCAGTCAAGGTTTATTTGCGGACAGAATATTTCCAGCTCATGGAAAATTTACTAGGGTTCTGGCAAGTAAAGTTGTGTTGTTTGTATCTCCACATTCAGCTCAATCCAGAGTTCCAGTTTTATGTAAAAACCCTATTGGTCTCACATTTTCAAAGTATTCAAATGACACAAAACAAATGCAAAGTTTCCTCCTCTCCTTTACTTCCGCCCTTCTTTGATCCCTCTGCCCCTCCTTCACTTCCTTCCTCCCTCCATTAGCTGACATCAACAAGCTTTCATAAGTTCTTGGTGAATGGCATCACATACCCATTAACATAAACAATGCAAAACATGTTATCCCCCATATCCATCTTTCATCTCCTGTTGTCGTCACTCTTTGGACAGTCATTCATCACATTCCATTATGGAAATCAAAACAACAGGAAACAAACACAGTGTCTGCAATGTTTTCAGAATAATATGATTACTCTTTTATGAGTGTCCTCTCTAACTGATTCGACTGATTTGTTTGGGGATGGTCATGTTTTTAAGTCTGGAGCGGAGAAAAGTAAAAAGTGATTGTGAGTATCACAGGAAATATGTAACTGTGCAGAGTACAGCCTTATTCTTTATTTACAGTGAATCCATATGTGTACATGTTGTCATACATTTTGCAGTTATGTCTAGAGTATGTTTTATGGATTTAAAGAGGAGTGAACTTAAGAGAGAAAGAGACTGGCAGTATGTTTCAGGTCATTACATGAATCTTATTGTAATTTAAATAGAAGGTGTACCTTCCACTTTCGTCCTTTCTGCAAAGATGATATTTGTTTAAAAATATGAATAAAGGTTTAAAGTTGAAGAAAATATTCATTTTTCAGACCAGTTGTTGTCTTGGTGTCTGTATCACCATCAGTCAATTATCTACTTAAGGTATACAGAAGGAATAAGTACAATCTTTTAATAGGGGCATATGAAGGTTTGTGAGAGAGAGACTTGGTAGAAAAAAAAAAGACTGAGTTATTTAGTTATAAATATCAGCATTTGGGGAAAAAAAATGGGACATTTAACAACACGTTCAACTTTATCTGCCAAATTTCAAAAAGAAGCATGTTCATCAATTTATAATAGCAGCTCCTAGTTTTTCAGAGTGTAACGTCCTTGTGATTGAATCATGTGATGTTCCCTTTAAAACACACGTGATGAAATAACCAGTAATATCCTATTTCAGAAGCAGTGTGACGGCATTCACCCTTCAAAGGTTCATATTAAGGCGAGGCTCTTTTGTGTGAGGAGACCATTGATAGGAAGGTATATTGAGCTAAAGCACAGCACTTTGATCCCTTTTTTCCCCCTTTATAATCAGACCCATTCCTTCCTCCCTGGGCTCCTTTAAAGTAGTTGAGAATAATTAAGAGTTTAGTTGGCAGGGCTGTGTGTGTGTGTGTGTGTGTGTGTGTTTGAAGAGGTAAGATGGGTTTAAAGATTCCCACTGGATGGATTTATGAGGTCCAAAACTGCTTTTGATAGAAAAATCTATGGGTGAATACTTGTGGACACACACTGGACGGACACACATAACAACAACAGCATACACACACACCCACACACACAAGCTTGAGGGCCAGGGGGGACCTGACCGTGCCAATTGTTTGTCTCCCAGAATCAAATGGGAGCTGATTTTCTGAGGTCCAAAGGGCAGAATGGAAAATGACAAAATAAACGAGTGCTCTTTTCTCCATCTTCACATTCTTTCATGTGGCGCCCTGCAGAAGAGGAATGATCTGCCACGGCCTTTTTTTTGTCGAGCTGGCTGACACAACCGCTCGCACAACCCACACAAAGCCACAAACACACACACACACACACACACACTGCTCTGTTTGGATCACACTGTTGTTGTCTCCGTGTAATCTGATGAATGACACCCCCATTTCAATTACTGCCCCTCCCAAGAGCCTCTGGCTATCTCCCTCACTGTCTCTCACACACCTTCCAACCCTCCCTCAGAATCCCCATCTAGCAAGTCGTCTACACTCCTCGCAGGGTGGCCTCATACCTGAACTGGAGTGTCGGCAAAAATGATGATGAGTAAGCTCTAGTTATTTCTCTTTGGTCCCAAGAAGCTATCAAGGCCAAATGGAAGGCCAAAGGGCTGAGAGAAAATGGACTGGGAATAAGTGGCTGGCAGGATTGTGTTGAGACCTCGGAAATGTGACCATTCTGACTCTTAAGGTAACCTGTCACTCATACCCAACCTCAGCAGCGTTCTCTGGGTCTTGTAAACGTCACATAAATATGCCCATGTAGCTGTGGGTATATTAGCACATCTCATTGTCTTTTCTGTTGGATGATTTTGCTGAGTGTCAAGTCTATGTTTTAAAATATTCCTCACTTAATACATTTTTGCATTGTTTTCAAAACAAACCAAACAGCACACACCAGGTTATCTCATGAAAAGTGTTGTTTGGCAGTTTTCAGAGACCATTCTCTAGGAGCTCCTCTCCTCTGAGTCTATTTGAGCCCTATGAAGATGCAGACCAACATATTTGCAAAGGTAAAAGTGTTAACAAGATCCCCCCCCCCCCCCCCCCCTCAAAACTCAAAGGGAGTCGCGAAAAATGAATGACAGCAGTGACCGGTGTTCTTTGATTCGTATTTATTGAAGACAAAGATGGAAATGAGATGAATGTGTAAGAGGTGGTCAAAGTTTAGAAAATGTGCAATAAGATGATTATAAAGGAAGAAAAAGGTAATTGTTGGAGAGCAGAGTGGTTTTTGAGGGGAGGAAAACAGATGGAATATAATGAGAAGGGGGAACGAAAGCGGTGTAAAACATGAAGTAGGGGGAGAAGGAATGTGGCAGATGGTAAATGTAAATGTAGCCCCAAATGGTCTCTAGATGCTCTTTGAAACAGACTAACAAACACACACACACACACACACACACACACACACACACACACACAGTAGTGTACAAGGTCAGTAGGCGGTCACAGCCTTTCTGGCTTCACTGACACCTGCACCAAAAGCTGTGAACACGACACTTGCTCAATCCAAACACAAATGAATGAAATATTTTGTCCATATTGCATTTCGACGGAAACATTGAATAACATCAGTGATTAAAAGGACAATCAGTTTCTGTTATACGGCATTATGTGATCAAAAAATAAATGTGGAATAATGTGTGTTATAGTTATTTATGTAGAAATCCAGCATAGCCAAATAGATACTTAAATGTAGAAAACATCGCTTTTACCAAGTGTCAATGAAACAACCACTGGATGTTGGTCTATTAAGATGTGATTTAAAATAAACAACCAACCGAGTTAGAGGTTGAGGTTTGGTTAAGATAATCAAAATATACTCCTGATGATGAAAAGCCCAGAATTCACTGATTCATCTCTTCTCAGGTGGTCACTGGTAAATGGACATTACTGGCTAAGAAAGTAACTCTGTTGGCTAATAACATGTTAATATACAACATAAATATTGATGACACAGCATATTATTGATATCCAGTGCTAGCAGAGCAACCATTGATTATATAACCTGGACGTAGTCTCTTGTTACGTCACCCATCGGCTTCTGAAGAGGTTTTTGTTTTTTTCAGCCCAAAGATGGTGGTTACCATATTTGAAATGCTTTCTCCATCTTACTGTCAAATAATCTAGTAACAGGCAGAGAGGTGGACATGAGGCGGGCCTTATGCCTCCTGGCAAACAGCTTCAACACGCCCAGCTGTCAGTGACCTTAGCCAAGCCCCTGCAAATGTGTGCGCTCTTAGACATATTCAAATCTAAACTGATGGGTTATAAAAAAAATATTCGTTTTTGTGAATGAAGAAAAGGGCCAAAAAAAATATGATTCTTTTTTTTAAAACAAGGCTGTTAACTTTTTTTTATTTCTGCTGTAAAAATAGGCAATTCAATATGGGACCTAATGGGGGTTCCAAGGCTTTTGCTGCCAGCCTCAAGTGGACACTCAAGGAACTGTAGTTTTTTCTTTTTTTGCGCTGTAGCATTGGCTTCATTTTCAACACCTGATTGCCATTTGGGATAAAAATGAAGTATGGTCTGTGAAGGTCCAGCTGGTGCTAGTCCATGTGGGTGGCTTCACTTTCATGTAGGAATACTGTCACAGAGCATTACAGGAATTACCACTATAATCATTTTCAGACCAAAAAAATACTATAATGCTAATATTACTAGATCATAGTTCTCAGACATTGATGTTGTAATATTTAGTAAGAAATGCTGAATATTATTAAAGAATCAATTCAAAATAAATCATAATTTTACAGAATTTGTTCAGATTTTTGAAAAGTAAACTTACACCTATCCAACTTTAAAAAAAAAAAGTGGTTTAAACGTTTTATTATTCAAATGTTTTAAAGTTGTTAAAATGTAGAATTTAAAGGTTAAAAGACGCATGTGATTTAAGAACTGTGGGTACAATATGACTTTAATGGCATTCAAGAAGTAGGCTTTTTCCCCCTTAATTATAAATACATCATATATCTCACTGAATGTGTACCAATTGTGATTTTTGACCAGGGACAGAAAAAAACAAAACAATATCTCCACCTGCAAAAAATAAAGGTAGTCAATGGAATATCCGGCAGCACTTTTTCTCTCATTTCCTGTGAAATCATCCGTCAGCATAAACTTGATAAAAGTGGTTCCTTTCTTATGAGGTGAGGCAGACACAGAGCCTAGTGTGTATATTGTAAATTTTGACAGGACAGCAAACCTTGTGAATGGTGAAGTTTTATTCTAGTCGCTCTACAGAGGGAGAGAAAGAGAGATAGAGAGAGAGAGAGAGAGAGAGAGAGAGAGAGAGAGAGAAACAGTGCCACTGTACAGAAGAGCTCCTGTGAAATTCACACAAAAAATATTGTTTTTACTCTTTATCATTTATAATTCTCCATGATGATGTATTCCAGTATGAATTTACAAGCGATGTATACAGGTGTTGTTTCTAAATATATTCAAAATAGTTCCTTAAAAGTCTTTCAGGAAGTATTAGTTTAAAAAAAAGCTCTATTCTTACAGCAAACCATAAAGAAAGAGGTCTCGTATCTTTGGAGGGATAGCAGACTCAAAGTAGAGGGTTGCCTTTTTTTTCCTTTTATCTTCTTTACAGTTGAAGTCCTGACTACACATGAAGGAGAGGGAAGAGAGAAGCAGAGCTGGTGATACAGTAATTCTCACCTGCCATTGGAGGAAGAGCAAGGATGTCCCGCCTTACCGAAACCAAGCCCTGACCCCCCTGACCCCGCCCACCCCACCGGTCAGAACCTGGCCTGATAGTGACCCGTCAGCCAGTGAGGAAGTTGCACTGGGGGTCAAGTCCTCCCCTTCTCCCCCAAAACAGCAGCAGCATCTTCATCGAGTTCAACATAGATAATTTTTTTTCTCTCAAATATGTATATACTCACACCTGGTTACAACGCATTAGTGATCATAACATCATAACAAAAATAATTAACAAAAGAAAAAAGAAACAGAAAACATTAAAATTGTTACATCTGGGGTTGCATGCCATCACCTCATTATTTATCATTAAATGTAATTAAAATACATTTTTGTCATTAAAAAGAGCAGGGTTGTCATCACAGGGGTGTGTCTGAGTGTGTATGTGTTTGTGTGTGTGTGTGTGTGTGTGTGTGTGTGTGTGTTCGAACATAAAACAGCATCAGTTTACATGACAGTTCTGTAAAAGTAGAACAAATAGAACAAATCATCATGAGTTCATAAAATGCGAGGGTGCCGTTTGATATTTTCTTTTTTTTTACATGTGCATATTGTTCACTTGTCAGCTCACGCAAGCAGCATGTGAAGATAAATATGATAATAATAAATATGCAGATAAGATGCAAAAAAAGACAAATGTCGCTCTTCAGTCACATCAGGGTGGCAGATTGGGAAGCTAGGAGAGGTTCACTGCAGTATTCCAAGAGTACAAAAGGGGCGATATGACCGCGGTTGTTAAAGTCGGAGCTTTCGATTGAAACACAGTGGCTAATGCAGTCAACTGCCATTAAAAGCCATGGAGAAGAAAAAAAAGAGAGAGATTCCTGTTTGAATATTCCACATAAGGGAAGCTTATCAGGTGTGGATGTTTAATAAGCATCCTCCCATTTTGTCAAGGCTGCTCAGTTTGGAAAGGAACGAAGCTTCACACAACACTCCTCACTGAGCAAAAAAACTAAAACGATCTAAGCTCCCTAACGCCATCCCTTCCTTCCTTCCTTCCCTCCTCCTCTTCCTCTCCTTCTCTCTTTACATGGGTTGCATGAGCTCGGACAAAGAGCCGAACTGGAAGACCTAGGACTGGTAAACATCAAAAGGAGAAAAGTTTGATTCTGCACTGCAGCCGTTATAAACCATGTTCTTGTTTTTTTTTTTTTTTTTTCCCTTTTTAGTTTTTTTTTCTACAAAAAAATCTGCGCCACATCATGTCCTGTTGCTACGGTTGAAGCTCCCCCAAAATGCACAGAATCATCCTGAGGTATTTTATTTGATACAATTTGGCTTTGTGAATCCAATCAATCAAGCAAATCAACCAGCCAGTTTAAGATGGATACATGATTTTTCTGTTGACTGTACAATTTGTACAGTATAATGCTACAAAAAACATGTTTTTTTTTTTTTTTGTGGGCACGAGTGTACATGGAAGTATGTGCATGTGCAAGTCTTTCCTGCTAAGTGTTATTAAAAAGAACAAACAAACAAATAATCAAACATACTTATGCAAAAACAATCAGATTAGGAAGCAATTGTGGTGGTTAAGACTTCAAGCTTACCAAAGTTCTGCCATGCACACACACAACTTACTCCACACTAAGATGGATACATGATTGATGAGCACATAACAGCGGAGCCTCCTTGGCTCCATTCCTCTCCATCTTGCCCAGTCCAGCCCATCCCACATCCCCACCCAAACAACACAATGAAGGTAAACAAGGGATCCGTCTCAAGTAGTCCTCAGATCCTCAAGAGCCCTGGTTGATTGTGGGTCAACAGTAATTGATGACCAATAATTGTTAACTCATTCCACTGCAAGACTGTTCTGGTTGGATACTGCGTAGCATCGCTAGTACTGTTCTAACCAACCACTCAAGAGTTCAATTTTACAAAAATTGAAAGAAATAAAGTGTAGTTCTAACGTTTTCCAACACTCTAGTGATGTGTCATGTTGACCAAGGAAGGGAAGAAGGAAGGAGGAAGGAAGGAAAGAAATGTCAGTGTTTTTTATATATAGCTAATACCCTGTTTTTCAGTGACAGGAGGTCAAAAGACAAAAATACATCGGTGCCCAGCCCACCCACATCCGATAAGGTGATGGACACAGTTGTCATTTTATCCTTTTCTCCCTTGTTTATCTCCTCTTTGCTCTCTTCCCTTCCACTGTTTTCTCGCAAGAGCCACAGCATGACACTGTTTTTTACTAAGCACAAAGGTCAAAGAGAGAGGATCGATTGTACAAATATCCATCCACCAAATCTTGCAAGACACAGTCCCTTTTCAAAAAACATGTAAAATATGTGTCAGCAAGTGTATTTGTGTGTATTTTGTCTTCTCCGACACTGAAAAAATCAACACATGCAAAATAATCCACTACTCTTCATGTTATTTTTCAGAAAGCTATGCTTTTTCAAAAGCAAATGTGGGAGAGAGGATTTAAAAACTAATGGCTACTGTGCTACCAAATAAGCAAACACTAAAATCCTACATAGGGGGATCCGGATGCCAGAATCCCTAATAAATCTTATAGTTAAATAGAATAAAAAAGCAATACTTTGCTATTATTTTCTATGTGCAGAGCCACAAATGAAATGCCCTTCAACTGCCTCAGGTTACCTGCTTGTCGTTCCTTTTTCTATCTGTTATTTTGTCAGTCTGTCTTTTTTATCCTTCAGTCTGTAAACAATATTCATTGATAGCACCTACATTACTCTCAGCTTCTCATCACTATCATGACCCATAGCCTGGACATACCACATAAAACCACATTTTAAGAAGCCCACTGATTCCTTACTATCAAGACCTACTGGAGGCTCCCCTCTCTGCCATGTAGTCAATCATATTTTCCCTCTCTCTCCTTTTACACTGCCAGGTGTCTCAGAGGCCAGATTTGTCAGGCTAACAAGTAGCAGACCGTTGGACTAGCTTACTGCGACGCCTCTGCCCTCCTGGGATGCCTCCATGTCTGGCTGGGACATCAAACGTGCCCATCTGGTCTCCCTGTCAGGCCTCTTCTTGTGAACCAGTGAGCCAAAATCTTGACAGTGGAGGTGGAAAGGAAAAAGAAAGAAAGAAAGAACAGGGATTGAAAGAGAGGTCATCTCCTCTAATTCCCTCTAATTCCCTTCTTATGTACTTTCTCCTATCCTACGAGCCACTTCTTCACTCATCCAATGCCTCTGTCCAACAACATCTGCAGAAGTCCTCCATTCATGGGGTTTACAATTTCCTTCACCTTTTTAACCACACAAGGGGTTAATGATTCCCCTCCCCTATACACCAGGATACCTTATGGCAGAGTGCCAGCCTTGCGGCCAACTCATTGGTACATGGTAGAGAATAGACAAAAATGATGATATCATCTGCAAAGAGAGTAATACTAGTAGTACCATCATACCCATGGGCACAAGTTCTTTTGAAGTACAATGTCAAAGAGAAGAAGAAAAACGCAGTGTGGCTATGGCATCCATTGGTGGATAACATAGTTGATAAATTATAATACAAACCCAGAGAGGATTAAAGAGGAGAGAACATAATATTTCTTATATCAACTAAACATCGGACTCCAGGCTGGGGATTTTTTTATACACCCGTCTATTGCTGAACTGGGCTGAGTTTAGGACGCCACGAGGGGCTGGGTATGCACTAGTCTTATTGGCTGAGTAAGGCATCACATGCTCTTTATTGTACATGTCATTGGCTATCCGCCCATCCCTTGAGCAGTAAGAAGTGGTGGATTTAACGGAAGAGCGGAGATTGTTCGCATCGTTACGTGTTTTGATGGGGGCAGCTCCAAGAACAGCTACAGGTGAGGCCACAGCCAGCTGTTTGTAAATATCAGTGGAGCTACGCCCATGAACCAGTCTGCTGCTGGTGTCATCCCTCAGCGAGTGGCTGAGGAAAGGGTTATCCGAGCCATGGGCTGGGTACAGGGACTTGCTCCTTTTGCTTTCCTCCAGGTTGTGGTTAAACATCATTGATTTAGACCCAGTGCCAAACAGTCTGCCGGAGTAGGGACGCATGCCGAAGAGGTTGGCATAGTGGGAGTCAGATGTTGAGTCCAGAAAGCGATCCTTCTCCTTGAGGCTGACACTGCGTGCTGGTCGCCCCAGGTCTACGTCCTTGGGCTTTTCTAGCATAATGTTGTCAAAAGAATGCTGACGACTCAGCCTCAAGCGGTTTCTCTTTTGGACATGAGGCCCATCCGTCTGTGGCCAATACAGACCAAACATATCATCTGTTTGCTGCTGCTGTTGGTGGTGCAAGGAGGGGCTGACCAAGGAGTCTGCGAGAAGCTGGTCCTCACTGATGTCATACAGATTGGCCGTGTGGAGGCATGCTTCACAACGATTATATGGTGAGCGTGTGGCAGCAGGTGCAGCAGGTGCAACAGTAGGGGGGTATGACCCTGCTTGTGGGTAGCTTGCCGTCACTTTTGACAAGCAGGAACGGCAGTGTGTCTGTTTATAGCGATCAATGGACTCATGTGGGGAAAGGTTTTTGTCTTTCAGGCTGTAGTGTTTAGAGTAAGATGTGTCTGGTAGAAGATCTGAATCACCGTGATGCAAAGGTGAGGAGTTCAGATGAATTATGGGCTGTTCACATTTTCTATAGTTGTCACTGTGGTCTGAGTAGATCTCGGGATAATCTAAGTCATCGGCAGCAAGGCCACGACTCTCACGGTAGTGAATAGGGTCTGAATGCAGGCTCAGCTCTCGGTCTGAGTCAATAGTGTAGATTTTCTCTCCTACTCCTCTTCCAGTTTGGTTGGTTCCACTGCTGACCTGCTTAGTCTTTAAGTAGGACAGTTCCACCTCACTGCAGTCCCTTGGGTATTTTGAATTCACTGATCTTTTTTTTAAGTTGTCCTTGGGCTTCAGGTGCTTGTTGTTTTCTGGGTCCTTGTAGGAGGCTGCCCTGCTTGAGCAGTCAGAGATGTCTGAGTGGGCTGCGTCCTCAGGCAGGTAGCGCTGAGTCTTCATCGACATTCGTGGGTCCGGCATCAGCATGTCAGGCATCGGGGGAGGTCCAGGCGGCACAGAACGGAGAGTGTCCACTGACTTCTTCCAGAGGGTCCGTTGTGGCTTGGCATTGGTTTGGACTGAGTCAGCACTCACTGCTACCTCTACTGTGTTAGGATTGGCATCATTTAGGGTCAGAGGATGCTGTCCTCCCTGAAAGATGTAGTTGTTAAGGTGGTCTTTGTGGCGGCTAGCAAGATAAGACTGCAAGTCCCCAGTGTCCCCATAGATCATATCTTTGGGAGCATAGCTTCTGTTGTCAGCATAGATGAAGTTGCCCTTCTCTGCCATCATGTCCATAATCATTGGGCCAGCTGAGTGCATGAACTCGCGTTTCGGGGAGTTCATGTGGGAGCCACTCAGGTTGGACATGTTAGTCATCTGTTTGGCTGACTTAATGAGCTTAAGCATTTTGTCCTGAGGGCTAAAGTCCAGATCTGTCTTTTTCTTCATGTCAATATGGACTCCATGGATGCAACTCCAGATTCCCTGCATGGAGACATATGGATGAACATGTGGAATGAAGGAGGGAAGTTGGATAAAAAAAATAAAAAGGGAGAAAATGACAGGGTAGGAGGAGTGGGCGAGAGAAGAGATAAAATGGAACAAGGGAGAATCAAACATAAAGGGGGATTGGGAGAGAAATGGAGAGAGATAAGCAGAATTATGATTACTTATCTAGTATGACCAAAAATATTTGTGCTCTGTATGTTTTATTGAAATGAATTTAATTGGTAGTGACTCAGCAAATCAAAGGAGATTGAGTGTGAATGCTCTTTTATCACCATCAACACAACTTGAAAGTGTAGTTCTGTACATTGGCTAATGAGCCAAAAAGGGCAATATGTAACAGGAATGATTCTGGCTCAATACTGACTTTTACCTTTTTTTCTTTTTTCAGGAATAGCTCTAATGGTATGTAATACTACAGTACATTGCTCCCAATATATAGCTGGTGGTTGTTCCTAAGGTCAGTTGTCTGGTACTTGTGGTTAAAAGAGTTTAGAAAGGCATAGGTAGTATTAGTGGGCAACCTATACAACACCAGCTCTTCCCGTTACTGCCTCTAGCTCGCTCAGTCACTGATCACGTGTGTGTGGGAACCTAGAAGATAAAGGTATCTTACATGCGCTGGAATGGTTCTTGTGTACTATGAAATTTAATCCTGCCGGTGCCACTGTCTCTCTTAACGATAGAACAAAGCTTCAGGCATTTCAGGGAATCAACACTAAACGGGAAAAATTACCATTGCTACTACTGATGGGTGGTGGTGAAAGGAGGGCGGGGGAGGGGGGGGGTCATTTGTACTAACAGCAGTCAATAAAATAACTACATAGAGCTATCATTTTATGTTTTAAAGAACACAAGCAGCTGGGATATCATAATAAGCAGACATTACAAAGAAAAGCAAATTCTACCCTAACTGAAACCCACTGTTAGTTCTTAAAAATAAATATAAACTAATCCTGCATTTAAATTGTAAGTGCTTTTTCAGCACATAGTTTGCAAAGCGTATCAGCACAAATTAGGATGTCTTTCGCCCTAAATCACTCCTCAAAATGTCTTTGAAATATCTGCTTTTTTTTCAAAGAATCTCACTTTGTCGTCTAAAGTTTTCTTCCCCCCTTCTGTTAACTTTGAAAACAGAGTCAGGCCTTTAAAAAAATGAGGAGACACTGCAGTGCTTTTAGGCATGCACGTCCATGTCTTCTGTTCTCACACGCAACTAGGGTGAATACTGACCTTTTAAAAGATCGTAAGAGAAGAGATTGATTTAGCGTGGGTTTGCCTTGATTTCATCCAAAAACATGCTGCAATTAGAATCTATTTTTGTCGATATTCAGGGCTGCCTCGTGATCCCCCCCTCCCGTCCCCTATCCCAATTCTCTCCTCTCATCCTACATTGTGCAACCCTCCCTCCTTCCCCCTTGTTTCATGCGGTGTCTTACATCAGTGGTAGCTCAATTCTCTGCATGAGTGTGCGCATGTGTGCATGCTTGCGCTGCTCTAAGCCCTGTCTTTTTGACCCCATTAATACAGCATTAGCCCCAAGTACAGTGGCAGTGCTTTATTGCACCTTATAGCCTTAAACATGACTACTCTTAACCCAGCCTAACCACCCGGGGTTCATATTCACATGGTCACACACTCACATGTGCGTGCAAACACTCAATGGCCTGTTTCTTTGAGTTGACAACTGGGCCAAATTTAAATTTGTTCCAAGGTATGTGTTTAAAATTTAATACAAGCTGTAGCACTTTTAATGTTCACCCAAACCGCAATATAGTCTAAAAAAAAACCTGCTAGAACACGCTGGCACATGCAAACACAAACCTCTACAAAAACTGGTCCTTACCCGACTGATGGAGAAGAGAAGACCCGGCTTGCCTGTGCAGACCCCAGTGAAGCAGTATCTGAGCCTCCAGTAGAAGAGATGTTCAGACACGAATGTGATGAGGGAGAGCCCCATTGCTGTAGCCAGCATGTAGAAGACCCCAGCCATGTTGTCGACATCCAGCTGACTGGACATTACCTCGTTCTTCTCGTTGTGACAAATTCCTGTCAGCCACTGGGCCTCCAGTTCTTCCATTTCACCTGAAAAGCAAAGACGCACAGAGAGACTAAGAACTGTACTGAATGGCTTATTGGAGTTTGAGCAGCCAGAGAATTGTAAAAGTAGATATATGTTTATACTGTTGCCCCATGTCACATTATGAGGAACACATTTAAATGATGGCTTGCTACCAAAGATCGTGAGAATGTCCTGCAGATCCTGTGAAACTTTAACTAATTGCATACAACTATTGTTTCATATGGTGCTTCCATTTCGTGTCAATGCATTGATGTAAAGGATGGTATCATCTGCAAAGAGAGATAATTATAAGTACTACTTTAAATGCAGACGTAGTGGATCCATTTTGGAAATGTATAATGGATAGGCCCTATTTGAGTGAATTACATGTTAATCTAGTTTTTAAACATCTTTGTCAAAGCATACAGGTTGAATGCTTGTTTATTTTTCTTTAAGGGTTTGGTTTTGGTGGCATCGCCATGCACTTGTCTTCCATTCACCTCCATGTTGCCTGATAGGACAAACAGATTGTTTCTTTAGTGTTAATGAAAGAAAGGCAGAAAGCCACAAAGACCTTATCTTTTCTCATTTCTCACTCTGTGCTCTCTTTTCTCGGGCCGCATCCTCTCCCTCTCAGGCTTAGTCAGTGACATTTGGCGTGTGGCTAATCCAATCGTTGTCACTCAGGGTTGGATAACTAAAGCTGCTACTGAGGAAAGACAAATGTGTTTCTGCTGGTCAGCTGGATGTCTTAAGGGTCCAGACTCATTTAGATGTCATTGATCCTTTTGGACAATTGAGGAGAATCTGTCTACTCTCACATTTGCGAACATGTTTTTTTTTTTTTTTTGGCATTAGGGATCTGAACTGGCAGAAATAAATGAAAATCTTAGGTATCAACAATCACTTTAGCTCATTTTTAAATCAAGTGCATTCAAGGGGAAAGCTGCGGGGAGCCGTGACTCCCTGCACAGTTGCTCTTGCTTCAGGGGAAAGTACTGCTGAAATTCAAATTTTGTTCTCTTTTCAGCAGTCAGACGGGTTCAAGCAATAGTCTGGTGACCAGTCATTCGGAACACAGGAATACAAGTATCTACAACTTTTATCCTCACTTTCGAGGCTTTCAAAAATGGGTTTACTTTGAAGCTTGTACATTTATTTTAAGACGTGTGAGTGCAGCGACTAAACTTTTTGGGAACTCTGTGTTCTCCATTACATTATCGTGAACCACAAATACTCTATCCATCCCCAGTTCGGTACAGTCACCTGATGATAGCACTCTGTTGAGTGCTTATCTGAAATAGGGCTCCCTCATAAATGGTTGAGCAGTGAGTAGTTCCTGACCCTGACTCAATGATGTGATGGATTAAAACCATCCTGCATCGTCAGAATGTGTGAATTTGTACCACTGCTTTTTCTACGAGATATATTTGATCAGAATCTAGCACAAACAACAAGATGTCTGTAAGTAGGCAAATCTGGAAACTTCGATAAATTCCCCAAATGAGCACTTAAAAAAGTTGTTGTGGTTGTCCATTTGTTCTCCACCGTCCTCCAATTTCCCCTGAACGTATCTTCTCTCTGCCCCGTGCAAAGCCTTATGCTCTCTCCACCCACATTGTGTCTGTCCGATCAAGTAACATCTGCCAAGACACCTCGCCGCCGTCATCTATCACGGGCCAGCCCTCCTCTCACTCCCCATCGCTCTCTTTTTACCTGACACGCACGCTCTCTCCCGATGGTCCTCTCATCTCTTCTTTCCCTGCCTCGTCCTTTCTCTGACCTCTCTTTGGCCACTCACATTCTGTTTCTCTATGTTTTTCTGTCTCTCATCACATTCTCCATCCATCTGTTCCCCCTTTTTCCCTTCTCTGTCACACTTCTTTGTAGTCTCGCCTCTTTCTTTTCTGCCGTCTCCTGTTCCCACACACAGTTCTCTGCTCACCTTTTCTCCTTTTGCTTTTACACAACCATCTTTTATAGTAGGTATAACAGCATTGAAATTATTGGCATGGTGCAAATGCAATACAGAGCATGTTTGCAATGAATGAACTGCTATAAAACCTGCGAGCATAAAATGATTGAATGGGATGATTGAATGCGACAGAAAAACAAAGCAAAACATAAACTCTGAGATTCTGTCTTTTCTGAAATTCTGCACCCCTAGTATGAGATGGAGTGCGGCCTGCATGCTCTGCAGCCTGATAAGATTTGGTTGGAGAGGATTATTGTGACACCAGCGCTCATTTAATCAACTTCAATGCACTTAATGTAAGTGGCTGTGAGCACTTGCATCAGCAAAACGCTCTCGATGTAAAATGTAAATGAATCTGTCACCAAAAACCCAGATGCTTTCTTGCCTTTTCTCTGTTTTGCACCAGGGAAAAATTGTTTATGTAAGAACTTTCTGAGGCTACTGTAATAAAGGAATGTGGTGATTCAGATAGAGTAACACACACAAACACTCGCAAACACACACATAGATCTGGCGCTGCATAGAGGAATATATTAGAATAACTTACACACTCTGCCCTCTGTTTAGAGCAGCCTTTTGTGTCCAGAATAACATCAAAGGACTATTTATACTTCACTGCTTTCCCTTTGTGCTGTCAGCAGACAAGGCAGGAGAGGTTTTGCGAATGTGTGTGTGAGAGATTGTGCATGAGTTACAAAGCTGGCAAGGAACAATGTAACCCCCCCTTGGCCTTCATGGAGAGTGTCAAGCACTTTGGTTAGTGTGTACAGGAACAGTGTGGGGAGCGTGTTTCTCACCATCGCCGATGATGGCCAGGATGGCCAGATCCACCTGTCGTTTCCAGTAGGAGCCTTTCTGGAGAGCGATCCCATAGCCGGTGGTAGCAAAGATGTACCTGAACACAAGTGCATCGAAACACACACAAACAAAGACACACACACACACAAAGAAAACTGTATGTTTAACCTGTAAACTTGTGTTTCAACCTCACTTAGCAGGTATTGTCCCTGTGTTTTAATATGTGTATATAAGGAGATATCTTGTTAAGAGTGTGTATGAATGATATAAAGTGGATATTTAGATCAGGGATATACAATCCAAAAAGAAGTGTTCTTGTTTCTGGCCTTTAAGCTCCACTTTTAGTTTCTTGAGGTCTTTGTTAAAACTAAAATGACATGCATCAAACGAACAATGAAACATTGTTGGAAACGTCAATCACTGCTTTGCTTCATACTGGCCACAAAGAGATCCTTCCATCGAGCATCTAAATGTTAAGGATTGGGGACACATGCATCAAAACATGAAAAGGCTTCAGCAGTGTTCGTTAAGACAATTGAAGTGTGTACAGAGCATTTTGAGGCACTTTTTTGAAACTTTGGAAGGTGCTTACCAAAACGTGTTAAAGACAACTTGCTTAAAGCTCCTGTGAAGAGTTTTTTGCTGGTTGTGAAACAGACTGAAATTAATACTGATAACGTCTCTACAGGACCTTCAAAAGCAAAAGAGAACATTAGCAAGAAGAAGGATTATTTAAAAAAAAAAAAAAAATGTTATGCCTGTAAATAGTGCCGCTGGGTAGGTGTCAGAAAATGTGATTAATAGCACAAATAAAAAAATTCCCACAGCAAAAGATCAATAACAAGTGATATGACTGCCTGATTTAGGACAGCGCTCTCCTCATAAACCTCTACTTTCCAGTCTTTATGAAAAGGGAAAGATCAGAAAAGAGATTTAAAAAAAAAAAAAAAGATCGGCACAAAAATCGCAACAAACCAAAAGTTCCTTACAGGAGCTTTAATTCTCACATAATCAGAACTGAATATATTGTCCCTCATCACTTGCATTTAAATTGCTAATGAAATCAGCGTCTTTGGAGATGAGGAACAACTTGAGCAATAAAACTTTGACTTCACATGAGCGCCATTAAATAATATAACATCATGTGAATAGCTAATGGCTCAAATAAACGACATGTGATATCAAAATCTCATTCTAATTCTAAATGTTAAATATTTGTGACATATTTAACTGATTTGAGTGCCCCAAACTCATGTCGTGGCACCACATAACTGAAGATGTTGGACTCTGGATCAGGACTTCTTTGAGACCCACTGCTGGTCTCTGGGCAACAGGTTACACCAATCAAAACACAGCACCACTTCAAGTACTGATTTGTGGTGTTTACTTTCCCGCTTTTTTACACATTAAACAAACAAGATACGATGTGTTAAATGGTGAACTTTACCTTAAAGAGGTTTTTTTGTGTGATGGCACAGAACTTCAAAACAAACAGTAAGACAAACCACCGAGACAGCTTTACAGTCTAGTTTGAAGTTAAGATATGGCATGATCACGGAGTGAGGACACTCCACATTCAAAGAGTTGAAACTTTGGTTACCCGCTTCCAATGGTCACCAGCTTACATCCCTCATCTCTGCCGGCCATGTAGTTCAGCACTGCGGCGTCGTAGATGAAGGCGTCGAGTTTACTGCAAAAGGTGAAGGAGAAAAAAAAAAAAAAGAGCCGAGGGAAGAGACAGAGGTGAACAGACGAGAGGGTGTGAGGGTATGACGACAAAAAGCATGAGCAGTTTCAATTTCTTTTTAAAGAGAGCGAGTGAGAGGTGCACAGGAGGAGACCGAAGAAGCAGAAGGAGGAGGATGGGGGCTTATTTTTCAGAACATGTTGTTGTGGATCAATTCTAAAGTGTTAAATCATCTCCAATAGGACTGCAATCCGAGCGTAGCCAAACACACAGAGGACACAGCGGGGAGTGGCTGCGGTTCAATACGGCACGCTTCACTGATGAAAGGACCTTGGAGGCAAATAGAAGACCTAAACAAACTTTAGACAGACACAAACATTTACGCTGTCTCTCTCTCTCTCTCTCTCTCTCTCTCTCTCTCCCTTCTGTGCACACACACACACACACACACACACACACACACATGCAGGTTGCGTAGTGGTGGAACGTTCAAACGAAAATTATCCCAGACTCAGACTGACATTTTCAATGTAACTGATGCCATCACTAACTGCTCCTCTCTCACTCTGTCAGAGCCCGTACACACGCCGTCTCTCCAACACACACACACACACACACACACACACACACACACACACACACACACACACACACACACACATGCACGTATATCCACACAGAGAGGGCCTGGTAATAGCGCAGTGACTGGCTGGCATTTACTGAATGTCAGATCCAGCCCTCTAACGGAGGCTCACAGCCGATAGTTCAGCTGTGTAATTAGCTTAACCCAGCGCTGGCTCCATCCACACGCAGGATGTGTGTCCAACTATGTAGCAAAGTAGGCGTGTGTGCCTGGGTGGGTGTGTGTGTGTGTGTGTGCACATTAAAGTATGTGTGTTGCCGTGCTGTGGAGCGTATATTCTAGCGTGGCTTTGTGCGTGCATGTCTGTGAACAGCAGCCAGACATATTGTGGCTCTAATGGCTTGGAGTGGGATTCAGCCGTCACGATGTGTCACAACTTTTTTTTTTTTTTTTTGATGTTGCAGGACAGATTCTCTCTCGCTGCTTTCCATCCGTATTTTTTGAAAGTGATCTCGAAAGGTGGAAAATCACCATTGAGTGTGACTGTGGATGTCATTTCACGTAGCTGCAGGGAGAGCAGCTTATCAGAAGGAAACCTGTGGGTGGACCTACTGTTGAAATCCAGACCCTGGGTCAAACAGTTTAGTAGATCTACAGTATGAATCCTGATCAAAAATGACTTCAGACATTCTTCTTTTACATTTGGCACATTTCATACACCAGGCTCCATGAACAGAGGCTACAATCCTTATGTACTGGTTTCAGGTTCGACTCCCTATCCTAACACTATTCTATCGGCATGTCATCCCCTACTCTCTCTATCCCTACATTTCCTGTCTATCTTCCTTCAGCTGCCCTGTCAAAATAAAGGCAAAAGCCCCAAAATAACCTTAAAAAAAAGGTTTATTCTTATGATATGTATAGAAGCCCTAAGCTGACATAAATCCATACACTTCATCTTCGCTCTGTTTTCCTGTGACGGTGTGTAATAAGCAGTTGTTTTCTTGAAATCTCAACATATTTTACCTGTCGTCTCAGGATAAAAAAAAGCTTGTTTCCCCTTCAGAACAAATACATTTATCTCATTATCTCTTGATTATTTTCTGGCAATCTAGAAATTGAATGAATCAGGTTAGTTGCTGAAGTCAGGCGATGACATGCTGTACTGCTATTACCCACACTCATGAGGTAAGTAGATCCTATTTCTATGTTTGTTTTGTGCTTTTGCAACTCTGGGAAAACACGATCAATAAGATGAGATGTTGAGAGGAAAAAAACAACCCAGAAATGACTTATTATCATGGGAGTAAATAAAACGTATGGATGCAGGTACGCTTTGGGCTTCCGTAGGTATATGGCATGATAACTTGAACCCGAGGTCTGCTTTTGCATGGATTACAGTTTAATTTCATTTAAAAAAATCGAATTCCTTATTTGTAAAAAATCTAAACTTTTCTTCTTCTTCTGTGAGTCATTAAGGAGCTGAAATGTAATCAAATCAATCCCCCTCCTCCGTGCATAGTTTCGCTTCTTGTGGCTGTAACAGATTTCGCTTGTAAAGCCTGTCAGCATTATGTGTGATCACAGCTAATCCAGCCATCGAGCCTCAAACAGCTGAGCGCCGCACTGTTGCTCATCTGCTAATACCACAGAATAGCATTATCAATGAGGGTATTTCAGTACACACACACACACACACACACACACGCAGCTGCAGCTAGAGCGTGTGTGCTTTTAAACACTTCGATTGCGTGTGTGTGTGTGTGTGTGTGTGTGTGTGTGTGTGTAGTTAGTTTACTGAGGTGTCTATGCGTTTGCATGTGTGTTTAGCACCGTGCTACCTCGACACAGGCAAGAGCAACAGAGAGTATTCTGCATGCTGGAGCGATTTGAGCTGTCTTTACATGTTTACATCCTGGTTTACTTGTGACTTATGGATGAGAGAGAATAAACTGCAAAAAAAACTCATGAATTATACACTAATATTGTTGGATGTGTATTCTCTGTCTCCTTCTGGCAGCTGGCCTTTTAGATTTGAAATATGATTGGATCCCACCCTATGGCTATTAACCAATCAGAAATAACTTCTTCTTTTATTACATTAACCTTTTGTCTTTTAGCTTACATCATTTTGCCATCTCTTTCTGTATTTTCTCCATTCCTTGATCTGCCTTTCCTCCTTTCCTTACCTCCTTTTGTCTCTCTTCCATTCCCCTCTATAAGTTTACCCTCTATGTCTCCTTTCACTTTCCCCTCTTTTTTCATTCCATTAACATTTCCTCCTTCCCTAGTCTCTTGGCCCTTTCCCCCTGCCTTCATTTCCTCCAATCCGGTATTTTACCCTTGGCCTCCTACCCCGCCTCCTTTCCTCCTTTTTTTCCCATGTGATGGTATGAGGAGAGTCACCCCTATGTCTCTCCTCCCTCCTTCTCTTCATCTACCTCTACCTATCTATCCATCCATCGCCCTCAAATTGTTCCTCTTTTTTAGTCAGTGCTTGGTTCGCTTTATGATTAGCCTCTCCTTGTAATTTTACAGACACACATTTATAAAAATTTTCACAAATATACATCAGTTATGGAAGTACAGTTACGACAAAAGAAATGAGAACTCAAAACTAATTCTAAGCTCAACACAGACTGAAAGCATAAGCTTAAAAACACCAAGATGCAAATTTGAAGGAGTAGAATCAGGTTTTTAGAATACAGTCAAGAGCTAATGCACAGTTTCTTCTGAGCCTGCACTTTAAATGTATTCCAGTTGTATTCATAGGGAACACACTTTATGTTCGCCCTGCACATACCTGATTCTGCTTTGACAAATCTGTCCTTCTGCACTCTCAAAGATTGACCTGCAAAGTGCAAACTGAGTCGTTCCTAACTCTGTTTTGTACTCTCTCCAATTTTTTGGACATCAATATTCTTCCATGACACACCACCACCAATCCCATTATAGAGCCCAGTGCTAAAAATATCTGCTGCTGCTCCCAGTGAGGAAGCCCATTCATCGCCAGTCTCAGAGGAGCTGTCACACACACACACACACACACGCGCACGCACACACACACACACACACGCACACACACACATACACACGCACACACACACACACACACAATAACACTAACAGACCTACCTCCACATAAACACACATACAAACTGTCATTTTTTACATGCTTAAAAAAGCATTAGTGATTTTTTTTAATATATATTAAGAATTGGGCAAACACCCACTTTCAGTGTTTCCTTACCCCGTTTTGAGGCTGACCAGTGCGTCCACCACCCCAGTTTGATGGTATTTCACCATGTACTGGTGCATGGCAGGGTAGTTCTTCCTGATGTTCCTCTCCGTGGATCCGTTTGGAACCGTACCGAAGCGGAACGGAGGCGAGTACGCGTACGGGTTCTGAAACTGTGGTTGGAAGACAAAAGAGCAAAACGGGGGGCAAATAAGGAGAGATGACAAAGAGGGAAAAAAACAAAGGTAAATAAAACATAAACACAGAGAGAAACAAGGACATCAAAAATGTATTCCAAGATTGAGTGTGAGCGTGTGTGTGTGTGTGTGTGTGTGTGTGTGTGTGTCTTAAGTGTGTCTTACTGTGTTTGTGTGAAGGTGGATCAAGTACAAGATGGATATGATGAGCTATAACTCGCAGTGAAGCGAAACAATTCTACAGCTTTGAACACATTCTGAAAAGAAAAGGGTCTAATCTGGTAAGAAAACTGTGTGAGTATGAAATGAAAGTAACTTTATTGTCCATCACACAGTGACCAAAGAGGAACGTTCGGTAAGCACACTCACGTCGGGTGAGAGAGTTAGTCTGTAATTAGAGCAGCATCCCTAATGAGGTCTATTCTTCTTGTCGATTCAGGGTCTCTCAGCCCAGGCTAAACCGCTATAAACATTCATTTGTGCTGATGTCCATTAATATTCTGAATAACAGGAAATGTAGGATGTGCCGAGAGGCTGTGCAACATGTCAACGTGTCTCTGCTGTAGGAAGGTGTGTGTTTATGTATATGTGGAATTGTTTCTTATGATCTCTCTTTTTGAAGTTTTATATTCTCTTGCAACTGGAGGACAGAGTGTAACACTCATTTGCCTTCGGGGACATCTTCTTTTTTTATTTTTTTCTGGTTGAATGTCTTCATATTTATTTCAAAAAGAAAAGTAAAAAGTTTTTTTTTTTTTTTTTTTTTTTAAGAAAACAGCCCACATGATTAGACTCCAGTCCCAAGTCCCTATCCTAGCCTTCGGGGACGTCTTATCTTATCTTCTTCACAGCAATGGTCTTATATCGAGAAAAAGCAGACCTGCCGTTATTGACAAATCAGATATTCAACACACCAGTGTAATAAAATGATTCCTGTCATTCTTATTCCTCTCTTTAACCCACCTCTCCCCACTGCATCTCTCTGATGGCCCACACTCAAAGATTTTTAAAACCAAAACAGGTTATTTGAAAATGTGAAAGACACCCACACAAGATGAAAAAAAGAATCTTAGATTGAACAGTTTGCTTCGTGTAGTGTGTGGAGAGCATCGATGTGATCAAAACAGCAGAACACACACACACGCAGGTTCTTTAATCAACAACCAGAGTACTGACTCTCCAAACTGGAAAACTCAAAGACTTCTCTGGGTCAAAGGCAGGAAGAATTTGAGATGAGTTTTGAGATTACTTTAAAAACGAAAATTCCTGACGGGAAGGGTCTGACGGGTGAAAGTCACACACACAGCTCCTCTGGCAAATATCAGGAGTTTTTCACCGCTTGTCTGCCAGCGTGAAAGCCCCAATAGTGTGTGTTTGTGTGTGTGTGTGTGTGTGTTTCTACACAAATTCATGATCCATGATCATTTCACCCACATGTCTTTTTTCCTTCACTTTCACATCAATAAAATGAAGCAGACCCTGTGGACTCTATTTGCATATTATGAGTGTTGCTGTTCTGCTTGTTGCTTGTTAAACATCGGTAATAAATACTGATGTGTTTAATTGCCAGCGCTGAATGATTCATGTCAACTTGTTCATAAGCATATCTGCACGTTATATACATTTAAATGAATTATAATGTCTGCCTTCTGCATCTGGATGTACATATGTGCTTCTCTATTTTGCAATCAGGTCGAAGTGAGTGCGGCTTTAATAAGTCAACGTCTGCCATGTGTGCCTGTGTGTGAAGCAGTGATGTCACTCAGGATGTGTGTCAGCATCACGAGTCCCGGCCCTCAGGAGACGCCATCGTCTCACACAGACCTTCCTATTGTCTCTCTTTTTCCGCCCTCATCTTTCCCTTCATCCTCGCCTTTTTTTTTTTTTTTTTTAAGGTGGAGCAGTGGCTGTGAGGTCATGTAGACGGCACATGTGTGAAACGTGGTGCTGCTGCTTAAAATCTCCAGGCTGACCGAGGGGACTGGGAAAGGGCTCTCGTCTTGCTCAATAATAACCAGCAAAGGGCTTTTGAGAGCTGCACCAGCTGCTGCTAATGAAAGCTTGATGCAGATATGATGAGAACTCCAGAGTCCCAGTCAGGTGGAGATAAGTGCATGGTTACAGAACGTGGCCTTGAACTACAACTCATCCACTGTTGTTCACGTACAACATTTTTTTTTTTCATGTGAGTCACATTTGATCCATTTTCTACCAAAAAATATGATTATTATTTCATATTTTATAATCCATATTCTAGTATATTGATTCAAATCGAATTGTTTTAAGATGTGATGTGTATTTACCTCAGTTAGTCCAGGATTATTTTACTCCTCTCCTCTCCTCTCCTCTCCTCTCCTCTCCTCTCCTCTCCTCTCCTCTCCTCTCCTCTCCTCTCCATCTCTTCCCTTCCTTGCTCTTCTCCTGTCACACTCTCTGTCCTCTTATTATGCAAGTTCTGCTGTTATATAAGCAAAGGACTCCCTTTTTTTTTTTTTTTGCGTGTGTCTGACTGTGTCTTCATCTGTGTTGGGCCTATGTGTGCATGCTTATGTTTCTGTTGCGGGCTCTAGTCTAGACTAAGAACTGAATGCTTCTGTCTGTGAAAATGAAATGCCACGGTGATTATCAACCTTTTTTATATAATAAACATTCATTTAGCTGTAAGGTTTGTTTTCAGGGCGACACTGAGAAATCACTGACTTTTTGTGCACTTTAAAGATTCCTCCTGCACTTAACGTGTGTTTTGCGGAAATTTGATTGAGCCCTGCTTGTTGCATCCAGGATCCAGCAGCGATCATAATTGTCATTTTGGTGCATGAATCACACACCAGATAAAAGCAAGTAAGTTCCAGTCAAAGGTTTGCTAATACGTTCCATTTTTATAGAATATAAGCGTAGGCGTGCAGTAAAGTTACTGCTGTTGCACTTTACCAACCAACACTATGCGAGGCATGATTGGAGCGGGGATTGACTGGGGGAGTAACTCAGCCTGTTGGGACTTGGGTTGGGCACTGGAGGGTCGCCGGTTCCAGTCGCGGTGCGAACCAAAGCATGGAAGTTGGTCTGGTGGACACTTCCCGAGTACTGCTGAGGTGCCCTTGAGCAAGGCACTGAACCCCCAACAGCTCTGGCCCCTCCCTGTGTAGCAGCCCCACTCTGACCCCACTCCACTATTCCATCCACAGGTCCTGTAGTTCTAGTTCTAGTTTTTGGAACTGTTGGAGCCCTCCCTTTCTTATTGATTTCAGGAACTATGAACTATTTTAGTTCCCAGAACCCAATTTAGAGGAACCTTTTTAGCTCCTGCTTCAGAGTAGGTACCATAGCGGTGTGAATGCAGACAGAAAACAAGTCCCCTTGGTGCGTAGTTTACAAGGAAACTCCCGAGTGGATAGTTCCAGTTCAAAAAGTCCCCAGAACTTTTTGGTCTGAAAACACCTAAAAACAGAGTGTAACCAGGATCCCCCCCCCCCCAGGGATTAATAAAGTGTGTAAAATAAAAATGTTTTAAAGGATAATACAAAAAGTATTCTCCTTGTTATCAAAGCCATTATTACCATTGAGACAAATCCTTGGTGGTTATAAAGCCTAAAACGCTAAAGACTGTGCATGAGACAGCATGCTTGGAAAACAGTTGCAAAAAAAACCTGAGATGAAAGGAAAAAATGTCACAACTTTACCAATTTTAAAAGCACGGGCAGTTGGTGTCATTGTTATCTCCACAGGTGGCTCACAGAGCTGCTGTTTCCACGGGTGAGTCACTCAGGAAATATATTGCCCTTTCCATGTGTGCACAGTAAACTCCAAAAGAAAAAAGTTCTATTTTTGTATAATTCTGAAAGAAAAACCATTCGACAAATACATCATTTTATCTTCCTAATGAAAGACCTCTCCCATTTCACAGATATTTTCTTATCAGCAAAACAAAAAAAAGTGTGTCTGGCTCTATTTGTAGATCCGGCATGCAATTATTTACAAGGTTGTCCGTTTTCAAAGATCCTCCAGTCTACATGTGGAGGAGTCTGAATACAAAAAGCCAAACCTTCCTTTTCTTTCAGTCCTTTCCGTGTGTGCAAAATCCAAGCTGGTTCTGAGAAAAGTGCCAAGCAAAGCCTTTTTTTGGGTTGCTTGTTGAGTACAACACACAAAACAAAGGCGGATTTCTTTAATATTTTTCGTGTCACAGGATGTTCAATGTCCAGCATGGCTCAGCAAATCTGCCTGAACGGCCATTTACCCTCTTTGTCTGGGTCCTTTCTTCCCTGACCCTCTCTGTCTCTCCATATCTCTTTTACTTTCCTCCCTCCATACATGTGCCATTCCTTTCTCCCCACCGCAGCCGTCAACCTGGCCCATATCTGTCCGCTTGTTGTCTTGTACCATCTTGTGTGTCTTGGCCTCTCGCTATTCCTCAGTCGCCCTCCTGCCAGTTGCTTTACCCTTTGTTCCGTGCCTCCCTCCCCACCCCCCTCCCTCCCCACTCCCCCTCCTTCTGCGTGTTGTCAAAACCCTCTACATCACTCTCAAATGCTCTCTCCTTGGAAGCGTCTCCTCATACATCTGTCTCCCTCTCCTCCGGATCTCTCTACCCTTTTGTCTAGCCTTTCTTTGCTACTTCTCTACATTTGACCTTTTCCTGTAATCTTTCGGCCAGTCGTCCTCCTCCGGCGTTGACCATACTTCCGTTTCTCTATGTATTCAAAATTCTTATGCATACATTCTTACACTTATGGGCATATTATCACAATTTTACCTGACGTAATTTGCAACTAAGGAAAATAACAATCAATCCGTGTTAATGGCAGACATTTTCATTTTTGAATAACTCTTTTTCAACCAAAAATCCATGAATAAGCTAAAGATTATCGCTACTATCTATCTCCTATGTTTACACATACTATCAAGAATCAATCATTTAAATAGGGTAACAACATTCTGCATACTTTCAATAAAGGACATGTGTTTGTTGGGGTCTTCAGTAAATTCATATTAGAAAAAAGGGGGTAGTCACACGCACATCACTTCCAGTAGGTGCAGGGCAGCTCAAAAACAGCAGACTGAGGAAGAAGAAATGCCTGCACACTTGCTCGAATGCCACAAAAAGTTTTTATTCCATCACAATCACAAAACGTTTCGGCCACAGGTCTTCTTCAGATGATATGTATAGTTTTGATTACCACCTGAAGCAGACCTCTGGTCTTAAAGAGATGGAATAAAAACTTATAAGGGGCGTTTGATCAAGTGAATGATTTGCTCACACAATTAAAATCGCAGTACCACACGATAAAAGCATTTGAGCATAACCTGAGCATGACATCAGAGGAAACCTCACAAGACCCTCTGATGAACAACCTTTTAGCCAGTCAAACCAATTTCTAAAATGTGTATTCCATTACCTTGTTGTCAGACAGACCGGTGACTTGGTCGACAAACTCCTCCTGGATCATGAAGGCGGCCAGGTTGGCAGTGTAGGAAGCCAGAAAGATCACAGCGAAGAAGGCCCACACAGACACAATGAACTTACTAGTGGTTCCTTTTGGGTTTTGGACTGGCACAGAGTTGTTGAAGACCAGACCCCAAAGCAGCCAGACCGCCTTGCCCATGGTGAAGGAAGGGCCATGGGGGTCTGAAGAGAACGGCGGGCGGAGAAAGAAAGGTGGTTTAGAGGAGGACGAGGGAATACAAATGGTTGATAAAATACTCTTTTATGGGACACGCAGATTTAAGGATGTGCTTTCTTTGCTGTGTATGAAAGAGGGCTTATGTGTGTTTCTGTTCATGTGTAGGCTTACCTCTTCCCTGCGCCAAGTTTCTGTTGAAGCCAAGAGGACTGATGTACTCAAACATGAACACGGCCATTGCAGTCACCAGTAGGAGCATCACAAACATCATTACCCACACTGATGCACTGAATGGCTCTGAGGGAGAGAGAGAGAGAGAGAGAGAAAAATAAACAAAAAGGGGAAAAGATTAAGTATTAACACATGTTGGATTAAATTTTCATATCTCACACATCACTTCTTTATTTTTTATTAATGCTCTCACTTTCTGTCTTTCCATGGACAGAATGAATAAATCATGCGCACACACACACACACACACACACTGCATGGATAACAAGCTGACTCCTGCATGTTCACGCACCCCCCCCCCGCTCACGCAGACACACACTTGCATTCACACGGGCTCACCTCCCCATTTGACAGTGTGAGGAGGCGTACAGTATAGGAAGCCCTGGTGTCAGCACTCCTGTCCTCCCTCTGAGCTCACAACACTACCGCAGAGATTAAATCCTGCTCTAATGTATGGGAGAGCATCGTTGGCACAGGGCCGCGCACCTTGTATGTGTGTGTGTGTGTTTGTGCTGGCAAGCAGCCATTTATAGGTCTTCCTGCTAAGACTTTTTAATTGCCACTTTCACAGCAGTAAATGCATGCTGCATACATGTCAGAGTGTGTACTTTTTGGTGCCTGTGTGTGCCTCTGAGTCAGTGGCTTTCTGTATATGTGTGCAGGATGTCCATGAAGCGCAACGCATCAAATGAACGTGACTGAGCAGCCGTAACAGGGATACCGTGGCCACTCAGGTTAAAATCCTGAATTTAAGTCCCTCTCAGGTAAGTGAGGAAGCTGGAGTTCAGCTAAATCCCTCAGATGAAAGAACAAGTATTGACAGCTGTGTATCAGGACTGAATTGTGTTGTCAGCTCAGGGACACACACACACACACACACACACACACACACACAACACTCAAAACAAATATCATCCTCCATCCTACACTCACACCCCGGTAAAACCAAACAAACGGGTCTTCCTCTCCCTCCCTCCCAAGTCGGACAACAAAGCAAACAGTTATGCCTTGACAGTTACCGAGAAAGGCTGACGGGGAGACAGTTCCATTGCTACGGGAGACCATGACGCTGATCCCGGTTTCCACGAACGGGACGGAGAAATCGATGACCTCAGAACGCTCCTCATTGATCGTCAGAGATCCGACGGCCATGACGGCTTTCTTATAGACCACCTGCAGGGCGGAGGACGGAGGGAGGGAGGCAAAGGGAGAGGGGTAGAGGGAAGAAAGGGAAGAAGAAAATAGACATTATGATTTGAAAAATCCAAACACCTGCTGAATCAGAATTTAACTCACTCCCCATCAATAAGGTTTTTGGAACTCTTACAGAGTGAATAATGTTCTGTCGTAAAAAATATTGACTCCAATAAAGTTTACAGGCTTTGAATGAACTCCAGGGTGTTACCTACAAGTTGAAGTTGCTAAATAAAAACATGCAAAAGAGTTTTTTTGCAGAAGCAGTTGAGATTCGTGTACTTCCTGACCATTTATGACTTGTGCCAAAGCCTCATAGATGAAACCAACGTTTTGCAATGGCAATACTTAAAGCTACTTTAGCAACATAAGTGCAGGGATATCATGTCACAAAAACACTTCTAATGTCCTCTCAGCCTTGGCTTGGATTGATAGGTTTAAATGTATTACAAACTAAAAGTGAAAGGACAAATAAGTGGCTGCCTGCCCTCATTAAGAATCATCCAAAAGGACCCAAGCAGTCCAAATCCAATGCATTTTGAAATTAAATTAAATGTCTAACTTTACAATTGCAAAAAAAATATTATTTTAGCTAAAGTTGATAAATATGAAATGAACACAGGATCATGTATGGGTTTTTCTTACCTCTCCCACCATCCCATTCCAGACATTGTTGATCTTCTTGCCATGCTTGCCATTGGTTACCAGGTACAGGTCATAGGTGAACTTTACGTACTTTGCAATCTTCTTCAGAATATCGATGCAGAAGCCTTTGCAGCACTTCTTGATGTATGTCCCACCAGCCTCTGTTGTGTTGCTGAAAAAAAAAAAAAACATAAACAAAAAGCACAGCATTAGCAACTGTGGGTTAAGTGTAAGTAACAGAAAAAGAGAGGCAGTGCACCCTACAGAACATTTGATATACTTTGAATAGAACACAAACTGAAGACTTGTAGGCAATCTCCCTTTCAGGGACACAAAAAAATGCAGTTTTCCTACTTCTGTTTGACTTGTAAAATGCACCAATGCTCAGATGTCATCCTGGGACTATTTCACCTTTAAGTTCAAGTTGTTCTATTCAGGAATGACATCAGAAGACTTGAAAAATATGTTCCTTCCACCTCCCTGTCTCTCTAGAGAAGGAGGTTTATGACGGCACTGCATCTGCAAGCCTTGTACCATATGTGGAGCTGAATGTGAGAGCAGCAGAGTTCAGGCACTGTTCAAATGCACACCAGAGCGTACATCAACTTGCAGCCACCTGGGACTCTCATTTACCTTTCAGATATGTGCTAATTAGGCGAATATAACCTTGTCCTTTAGTTCAACAACAACCTGGATACAAAGTTGACAGAAAGAGTAAAAAAAATCTCGACACGTCCAGTCGTGACTCTGCAGTTACCTGCAGAGATAAAACTCTGAAACTTTGGCAGAATTCTGTGATGTTGGAAAACATTAGTCGAGTCTTGCTCCAACTGAAAACTCCAGCATTATCCTCCCTAGTCAGCAGCGATCTGTCAAACGAATGCCATCACAAGTGGAATACTTTCCTCTTTTCAAACTTGAGAAAAGTTTACCTTTACGGTCTTACAATCCGTCACTAGAGAGAAGGTTTATTTCAAAAGAGCCAAGCACTGATCTGTTAGCTGTAGTGAATTCCTCCTCTGAAAATGTTTCACAAACAGATTGTGCTTACACATTATTTTAAGAAGCCGTTATCTTAGTGAAATGGATTTAATTTGTATTAATGTAAACAGCTCATGTCAAACCATGGGGCGCAGGTAGCGTAGTGGTTATTCCACGCACCCCATGTATGGATGCTTTCGTCCTCAAATTTGGCAGCCAAGGTAGAAACCGACCTGTGGCAGCTTTCCGACACTTCATTCCCCACTCTCTCTCTCCCTGATTTCCTATTCTATCCACTGTCCTCTCCATGAAATTTTCTCCAATCAAATTTAGAGAAGAACACTTTATGCAGACGATATTATGATTTTCATAGTGTGTGATTGTGATTTAAAAGCAGCTCATTTGTTTCTGTACTTTGCTTTTAAGAATAAATACGGTTATTTATTAATTTAGATGTCAGTCAGGGACAATTTAGGGAAAAGGTTTTTGTTTACTTTAAATATTTGAAATTTGATTTTAAGTGTTGACCTTGCAGGAGGAAAAAAAGGGATAATTTGGTACAGGGAGGATGGATGCTGGCACAGGGAATGGATTCTGTTATAGTAATAACAGGCACAAGGACAAGCCAGTGGAGTTTATGGCAGGTTCACCTAGGGGGGGTAGTGACAGAGGAAGCGCATAGGCCACAACTGTGATAACTGCAATCATGCACACAGTGTACCCATTTTAGAGAGGCCATGGTGCAGTTCAGGGAGTGAGAGCATTTGATGTTATGGAGGCTGTTTGTGAAGTTGCCAGGTCAACTTGATATAGAAACACTACAAGGCCCGAGGGGTCTCCGGAGAGGGCGTCGTGGGTATATGTGTGTGTTAGCTTGAGTGTTACTTGTTCTTAGGCCCAGCCTGGATGAGTGAATTTGTGGTTCTGCATGCATGGATAGGCCTCCATCCCTCAATCCAACCCTTCCATCATTCCTCCCTCTCTGACTCTCCTCCTTTCCTCTTCCCTCCATCTTTCCCTCTTTTCTCCAAATGGACACTATGGATGCTTGAGTGAGAATTGCGCTGTGGGAGAGTCGAGCGCAGCCGAATGCACTGGCCTGTGAGTGAATGGACATGTGGCAAAAAGAGAGTGTATATGCTTGTGTGTGTGTATGTGAGTGTATATGTGTGTGTGTGTTTATCTTCCTCCTTGGAGATGCTTTATCCTCTGCCCTACTTCACAGTGATTCTGGATGAAAATCTCTGGTAGCCTCTTCCCTGGGACTCCATTATTGCTTAATCAGATCTGGTTATCTGAGTGAGTGTGGCTATGCGAGTGTGTCTGTGTAGTAGTTACAGAGAGCATTTTTTGTTTGCATGTATGTATCCAGCTTTAAGAATGACACAGTTGGAGTTGTGAACATGGTAATCTTACTGTAAGTGCGTTCTCCAGTGTGTATTTTCCGTTGCGGAGCAATAATATTAAATTATCTACAAACCAATTACACGCTTTGATTCAGCAGCACTGAAGCCACACAATGGCACACAAACGCACACAAACCCTGAGCCACATTTTCTGTGTATGCGTGTAAACTTGAGAAATATAATACAGCAAAAAGCTAGACGTATTTGGGCGTTACAGAGAAAATTGGTAAGGAGGCAAGTAAACTGCTGAGTACAGCAGTTGCCTCCATTTTCAGGGGGAGGAAAGAAGCTGCTGCATAGATCGCACACTGCACCTCTTCCCATGCTTATGAGGGGAGCGAGAGAGGGAGGGAGGGAAGTGCTGAGGGGAATATAAAAAAGGATGATGCTATTCGTGCCTCCTTTTACCAAAACACTTTATTTTACTGTGTTCTCACAAAGTGAACAGCCAATTATTAGACCACATCACAGTGAGACAAGAGAATATTTCATACGGTATCATTGCTTTAAGTCGTGCCGATACAATTTTAGGTCTTTAGTTAGACAGTATCGACGAATGTGTGGTTATTTTTGATTCCCATAATAGAAGATGGATTTCTGTCTCCTATCAGTGTTGCTTAACGTAAGGACTGGATAATATGTTTAGTTTGAGTTCTGCAGAAGACCCTTGACATTGAAATATTGCCCTGTTGATAAAAAGTTGCTCATTGGGAGCTGAGCGGTGTGCGGACCTTTCTCTCTCTTTTTTTTTTTTTTTACAGTTTATCCATTTTTTTGTACTGCACCATTACGTATTTTGCTTGGCTGATTGCTTTGTTTTCATTCTTTTTTCCCTCTATTTTTTCTCGTTTAACTTTATGCTTACTATAGCAAAACGTCTTTATTTTTGAGTATTCACATTCGGTGAATTAAAACAGGTTGAAAGTTCCGAAATATCACATTAACATTTGTGTTAATCCATAAGTCCCTTTGTTCTAAGCTATCAAAGCTAACATGACATGGATAGCAAGTTGCTTATTGATACCCTTTAAAAACACTAAAGAAGGACTCGTTCTTAATTTTGATATTCACTTTTTTCCTTTGGTATTCAGTGTTTGTTGGATTGTAAGTATTGTGCTTCACGGGGGAGGGGCATACAAATCGTGAGAAAAATTTAAACTGGATGCAAATAAGGGTACCCGACACATATAGGACTCTTTTGAACCACTAAAAATACTCAAGTAACAATTTTAAAAAACGACAATCAATTCATTGTTTTTGTTCTGAGTAAAACAAACATGTATGTTAATGAAATTTTAAAGAGGCCTTAAGAAGATTTTACTGGGTGAAGCTCGCCAGCATACATAATAGATGACTTACTCTTTGATGTGCTTCCTGCAGGGCACTGAGTTCCTCATGCAGGTACCAGTGAGCCTCTCCACGTCCTCCACGATGACAAAAGGTTTCTCCTCTAAGGTGACGATGGACAGGTGGTTGTCATCCAGCTCAGCATCGCCGAAGGAGTTGAAGCGCGGCCACACCGGGTACTTCAGTGTCAAGCTGCGGTTTTCTAGTTTCCCCATCTGAAGGGAAGGATAGGAGGTCGACAGAGATGAGTTGATAAATGAGTTAAGCGCAAGAAGATTTTTAAGAAACAAAAAAATAAGAGTGGAAGTTAAAAAAAATAAGGCTTTTACAAAAGGTGTGGCTCTCATCCAATACTTTACAATTAGTGAGCAGATCGGGAGTCAGCATCTGCCCTAAGACACGTTCTGTTAAAGCTAATACTCAGCAAAACTGTTGCCCTCGGATCTTACGGTTATTAGCAGACAGGAAGCAGAAGTGGTGGGGGAAATGATATCCAGTGAAACCAGAGAGAAATGCAGTGTGTTACTTATCTTTACCTGTAACTGCTGTAACCTGTTGCATTATAACTTAAAGTAGAGAGGAAGTGGAGAGGATTACAAATGTAGACACATGTTAACAATTCCTTTTCATGTCACATACAATGCTTTTTTTTTTTTGGAACAAAGACATACAAACCGGTATACATACGTTTACGGACCATAAATAATGGGACTGCTAGGACGACTATAGGCACAAGATAACGGATTAAAAGCATGGTGTGTAGGGATGCATGACCTAATGCACACAGAGGGATGTACAGTGAGCTATAAATGCGAACATATATGAGAAAGAGAGAGGGAGTGTGGCGGCATGATAGCGCTGCGACTCTGTTAATAATTCAGAAAGTTTTCAGAGCAGTGATGTCACAGATTCCCGTATGGATGGTCTTCACCCACTCACAGCTGTCTGCAAATGTGTGTGTGTGTGAGTGTGTGTTGTTGACGTGTGTTTTTGTAAGACAGGGACGAGGGTGGGGGAGGGGGGGGGGGAGCGAGACAACAGCAGGCAAAAAGGCTTTGCTCGACTCTCAATTATTAATGTTACAGGAGACAGAAAATGGCAAAACCTCGCTCTCACTCTTTCCCTCCATTTCAAAACTCTCTTATGTCCTTCCTTTCTTCTTCTGTTCCAGCCTCTCTGGTGGCTCCTTACTGCAATACTGCTGTAGAGTGGAGCGGAAAGTTTTGTTTGTTTTGCAAACTCATTAACACACACAATCGCGAACATGTGTGATGTAACAAATTGTGACGGGATAAGATACCAAATATGTTGTCTAGGTGTGTGAAAGAACGAGCACAAACAGTTATATGTACATTAGAAAGGCGTGCTAATATTTTACCCCTTTGACCCTGTGGTCATACAGGACAGAAGTCATTAACCCCCGACACACACACACATGTATACACACACACACACACACACACATGTATACACACACACGCATGTTGTTGCGCAGCCTGCATGCCTGGCTAAGTCATTAACAGGCAAGCAGAGAGGAGGAAGTGAAATTAGCATTTTAATTGTTTTGCTTTGAGTGGTTTTCTATCCTCTGACAGGGATTAGAGTCTTTTCTCCGCTCTTAGTTGGCACCACCGTCAACAGCTCACTCTGCTGTCGGCTACATCTTCTCCGGTGTGTGTGTGTGTGTGTGTGTGTGTGTGTAGGTGCATGTGTGTATGTGATGGCTGTTAGGGGGTCGGGACAGAACGTTGAGGTGGCATGTGTGGGATTTCTTGTGTGTCACCTTCACTCTCCAGGGAACAGTCGCATTTGTCTATCTGTCCTACCACAGCTGTTTAGCATTTCACAAGCGAGTGGGTGCGTGCATGTGTCCACACAAACACGTAATGTATATGTGTGTGTGTGTGTGTGTGTGTGTGTGTGTGTGTGTGTGTCGATCCAAAAGTGCGGGAAGATATAGCAGCAAACGGGACTCTGAAGTGTTTAACCAAGGGGGAAATTTGTGCATAATCAGTAAGATAGGGCTTGTATCACAGAAATGAGGGCAATCTGGGGAAGGAGCGAACACAAAACCTAAGTCAGAGAGGAAAGGAGTGCAGGTTCAAAACATTTGGCTTGTACTGCACAAGTAGTTCGGAGTCGTTCATGGGTCTTAGTTGCAAGCCGTGTGCTATTCTGATATACACACTCCATACTGGTTACATTTACTACATTTTGAACCTTGAAAGTATCACTGTATATAATTGTGTTCAAAGAAATGTTAAAAATTCAGACATAGTAATAAAGTCTCCTCTCAATCATTCATTTAAGCTCTGAGTTTTGGTCCTGATTTGGTTGGATGAATCAATAAACTTGAAGGAGAGACATATATATTCTACTCACAAGATGGGTAGAAAAAAGAGAAAGAAGAGGAGGAGGGGGGAAAAAGAAGCTGACTTCAGCAGCTATTCTGATTTCCTGTCCTCCTGCGCTCCTCTTCCCTCTTTCCTTCGCTCTAATTAAACAAAGAGGGTTATAAATTAATGCCTAGAGAGATGAGAGGATTCTCTCTATCGACCGACCAAGCAGCATAATGCTGAATCTATCCTGTATAAAACAGCAGATATTACACACGCACATTGCATGGACTAGGATGTGTGTAAGTGCGATGTGACAGCAGGGCCAGTGGGAGGTTACGATGATAGGGCCTGTGGGATTACCACATAATAACATCCTATGGCGGCAGTCTTATCGCACCATCACCCTGCGACGGATTGAGAGCCACTCTGTGATGAGATGATACTCGACCCAAGAAGAACTAAGTCTCTGAATGGTTTCTTTTTCTTTCTTTTTTCTTGAAATCCCTTGTTTTGTTTCGGCGAATACTCCTCACACCTGCCCTCCTTTTTTAGGCTGTTCTCTCTGTTCTCCTTCCCTCCTTTTTTTTTTTTTGCTCTTTGTGTCTGCATTTCTTGCTCTCTGTTTAATCTTTATTACACCACCTTCCCTCTCTCCCTTACTGTGTCTGTAACCTTTGAAAAACACACAAAAACACACGCTTCAAAAATGTCCTCTCATGGCTCCCCTGTTGGTGAATGATTTGAAGACGACTGTGCTCTGTTAGATAGGTAAACAAGTTCACCTACTCTCACACTCACATACACAGACTTCATACACGATCAAAGGCAACAACATATATTTTTTTAAAGAACAGGGGTCAGTGCTTGTACACTGAGCACCTTCTCTTTGCCACTCATCGCTGTGGCACACTGCATTATGGGAGAATGAGTTCCTAATAGCGTGGCGAAACGCATTCAGTCATAAAACAGTATCTGTCACTCCTGTCAGACAAAATTATGTCGGGGGAAAGGATTCTGCTCTCACCCTCCTACGCTTGCTCTGTGTGTTTTAAAGTGTGTGTGTGTTCACGTGTGTGTGAGAAAACAAGGGCAGAGAAAAAGAGGTTGACAAGGTGGAAGAGTGAGCGAAAACTACATCCATGGATTTAGTCTTCTTTCTTTAAGATTCAGAGAATAGGATAGAAAATGCACGTTTGTGTGGATGTGTACGTATGTGTGTGTATGCACATAAGCTTTTGTGCACATCTGCTTTCCATATTGTGATTCTCCAAGCACAAATCCCATGCTGTCTGTTATAATTATTTTGTAAACTGGCTCCTAACACTGCGGCAGCTCCTGAAGCAATTTACCCACTCCATCTACTCAGCAGGAATAAAACATAACATCCTGGTTCTGATCTGTAAATACACTTTTCTCATTTAATCACTGAGGTTATGTACTGTAACACTGTAAGCAATAAGAAAATTCTGCAAAGTCAGTGATTCTTAATCTTGGTATTTCCGATAGCTCTAAGAAAATTTGTAAAAAAATAAATAAAAAAAAATCATAAAAAGTTAAACTTATACTTACATGGACATCGAACTAGCTAATGTATAAAACATGTTAACAATCATATTTATCATTTAAGAAAAGATGTTCTAGTGACACTAGAGATGATGACCATGTGAGATATAGTTTCTTTATATTTATAAATCTTTATATTTAGTTATTCAAAGCAACAGCAACATTGCGTTAACTATCAGTACATTTCTCTTTTGTCCAAATATTTAGTTTTCTACTAAATACCTGTTAATCAGAAGATATTTTCATCAACACAAGTTCAACCATCAGTAAGTGAGAAATGTCATTCTGAATATTCAACCTTTTGATTTAAAGCACCACCATGCCTAAGAAGATTGCAAACTTTTTTTTAAAACTATCAATCTTGTTTAAACATGATACATGTTTTAATGAGCTTCAAGTACAAGCCATTAATATTCAGGTGAATATATTTTTTTTTGTATGGGTTAGCAGCTATTGTTGCCAAAGTTAAGCACGCTCCTTTGAACCTTTCAGTACCAGACTATCATTAAATTGATTTAATTCTTCCTCTGGATTCAACATCATTATTGGATTTTTTTTTTTTTAAATTGAGATACACTAGGAAATAATTTCAGCAAGTGTAAAACTCTTATAAATGGTGAATGCTAAAGTATTCCCTTTCTTCAGGAAAGGCTGCACCCAAATGTTACATTTTCTTGCTATTAAAAGACTCCGGCTGTAATGAAAAAAAAAAAAAGGTTTCTAGATAAAAGCCTATTTTGCATAAATGTCCTATTAAGCCACTCTGGATCCAGCCCTCTCATCCATTCATACACACTCGCATGATTTGCTGCAATCTGAGCTTCTTTTAAATAAAACAGTCATTTGATGGCGGTTACGTAATCCTTAAAAAAAAAAAAGTCATACACATCCGACTACGCAGGTGTAGCACTTTCAAAGCCCCTCTTCCCTAAACTCAGAAGAACACCATCTAACCAAATCTGTTTGTGAAAGCAGGTGTGTTTGTTACAGAGACCAGCAGGTGTGGATTCTTTGAGAACCTGAGTGTTAAACACCTGTGGTGGGCAGAAACAAAAAGAGGGAAAATATGCACAAGCTGGTGGCTCGGTTTTACCTCTCTCTGCCTCTTTTTGTGTCTCTTTTTTCCTGTGCTCATTTGCTCTAGCTATCTGGGCCCATCTGTCTCTGTGTCTCGCTTGTCTCTGTATCGCTCCATATAGCTCCTCCTCTGCCTGTCTCCCCCTCCTGTGCCTCAAGGGGACACATTTTATATTTTTAGTGCATATCCATATTTTAGTGCAGTTTCTGAATTTTTATCTCTTGATCATCATGGAAGTCTCTCTCCTCCGCTCTGTGTGAGCTACGGATTTTTTTTTTTTTTTTGCGCATGGGTAGGACGAGTGCAGCAGAGGGAAGGGGCAAGCGAGAGGGAGAAAGAGAGAAAGAGAGAGAGAGAGGGAAAGCAAGCTCCCAATTACGTTTCCACTTTGGGCCTCCATGTCTCTCTTTCTCTGCACCACAGTGAAGTGGTACTAATCAATTTCTCTGGCTCTCTGTTTACAACAACACACTCTACCTCCCGTCAGCAAACCAACAAAGGGTCTTTTGTGTGTGAGCCAGTGTTGGTGGTTGCGTGTCAGTATGAAATATGAAGAAGCTTGGCTCAAAGATTGGGTGGAGGCTGTGCAGATTGCGGCAGACTTAACTGAATACTGTAACAGCCACACACACACACACACCGATGTGACGTGAAAAAAAGGATTTTGTTAATGCACAGGTTGCTCAAAAAGTATTCCTGTCAACAACCAGAGTGGAAAGGGAAACACACACACAGACACACACACACAGACACACACACACACACACACACACACACACACACACACACACACACACACACACAGGCATTGACCCTATTCCACCTCAACAACAGAGGTCTCAGTCTTTTGATTAACAGAGGTTTTGATGTGCTATCAGAGACCACAACTGCAATGGCAGCTGTAGACAGAGTGCATGGATAATCTGGCCTATAAAGGAGCGCAGAAGAAGGGATGAGGAAGAAAAAAAGCATAGAGGAAAGGATGGAAAGCAAAAAGGAAAGGAAAGAGGAAGAGGAGATATTAGGGGAAGATACAGATGCAAGGATGATCTGGAATAGGAAACAAGTGCAGGGGATAGATGAAGGAAGGGGGAAAAAAGCAGAAAAGGATGGAAAGATGGAAGCAAAAAGGAAACAGGAAGAGGGAGAAGAGATATTAGGGAAGACACAGATGCAAGGATAATCTGGAATAGGAAAGGTACACAGGGAAAGGGATGAGGGAGAAAAAACAGGAGGAAAGGTGGGAGCAGGAAGAAACAGGAAGAGGAAGATGAGATATGAGGACAGACACAGGGTACGTTATGGGAGAATGGAACAAAAAAATGGGGTAAACAGCAAGGGAGACGAATGAAAAGACAAAAAACACATAACCATCTATCTCCCTCTCTTCCAAATCCTAATCATTATTTTTAGCCACACCTTCCTCTTTTTCAATTCCTCTCTCGAACTTTTCCCTTCCCCGCCTGAACATCTCTGAATGATGAACTATTAAGGCATTAAACATGAGGCATTTAGGTCTGCAAGAGGCAGCCAGCTGTAGGTATAAAGACACATGGCTGCCATTTAAAGTCCATTACAACAGCACGAATACTCAGCCGTTCATGGAGGCCATTTATTTTCAAAGTTTTTTCCACATTAACCAGTTGAAGGGATCCAAAGGCTTGTTAGTAAATGAGCTCATTGATCAACTAAGTTTTGTACAATGATGCAGAGGCAGACTTTCTGTAGGCGTCGTTTTTTTTTTTTTCTTTCTTCTGTTTAGCCAAACTGGTTGTCACTCTAACCAGAAACTTACCAGTTTACCCGTTATTAGGTTTGCAATGGATGAGGTAGCTTTTGGTTGAGGAAACAATGTGTCAGTCACTTTTAAAAACATCAACAGAAACCATATTTGCACGCACAGATAGGTCATTATTATCAGGGTTATCACAGAAAGATTGGTTTTGGACTGTATGTTAAAAGATATGCAAAAAAAAGTGGAAAAACAAATAGAAACATTTAATAATTGTGTTGATCTTCAGACAGAAACATGCTCAAACGACAAACAAAACCGACAACAAGGAAGACATCAGGGCCATCATTCAAGCAAATATTCACCAGTCACCAACCAATTTTCTCTGTAGTTAAAGGAAGAATGTGCGACAAGAAATCAAGTATATCCCGCGTAAATGTCTCTCTGAGTCATGACTGTCTACAACGAGTGAGACACACGAGTCCCGCTGGCTGTACTGATGTCTGAGCCGTGTTTACTTCATGTTTACATGGACGGGACCGCCCGCCGACTCATCCTCTTGCGTAGTAAAGCCGTTTAATTAAAGAACGTGAGGAGAGAGGCGGTTTGTGGTGTATCACTGGAGGAGAGCGGAGGCTTAGTGGCGGAGGTGTCAGTTTGTTTTGGTTTCATGCTGGGGCTCAAGGGCGACATCTACGGATCAAAAAGTCGCACATTCTTCCTTTAAAAAAAACAAAACAACACAATTTTATATAATTAATGAAGTTGAAGATTATTTATTTTGTATCTTCCTCGATGCTAGTGTTCTTCTGTATCCTTCACTACACTAGATGTGATGCATAAAGTCTCACAACACTATGGCTCCCAAAGATACACTTATTTATTTGCTATATGACTGACCGGGCTATATGCTATATTTGCTATAGAAACGTTGTGTTCTTTAATGCACATAGCAGATAAATACATATAGAGCCATGGTGATGCCTTTTTTTGTGCATCATATCTAGTGTTTTTTTTTTTTTTTTACGTTTCAGCACCTGAATAAGTGATGTGCATGTGTTTTCTTACTTTTCCTCGTCTTCTCTACACGGCCAGATGTCAATACTTTTTGCTTTTATTTAGTTAAATGATTCCATTTTAGCTTGAAAAGTTAAATGAATCAGATAAGTGTAAATACACTAGAATCCATGTGACAGTTGTAACTGGTCCTAAAGAACACATATTTGCAAACTTAATAATTTACGCACACACGCGCACACACACGCACACACACGCACACACACACACACAGGTGTAGATCCTACCTTCTCCCATTCCCTGTCTTTGTTGAGAACAATGACGACCAGCTTGGGGAATTCCTGGTAGCCGTCCTCTGTGAATGACAAGTCCTTGCCATCCCATGTCACATTCATCATGTACCTGATAGTGAACGGGGAAGAAGGGGGGGGGAGGAGGGGGAGTAGCAAGGCAGAGGGTGATAAGGAGAAAGAGAGGAGAGGACGAACGTGGAGGGGGAGGTGAGAGAAAATCGAGGATGAGAAAAAGAAGAGAAATGAACAGAGGCGTGGAGAAACAGGAAGAGGAAAATTAATACATTAGCATGAGAAAAAGTCAAATTACAATCTAGTAGTATTACTAATATAAAATATTCACACAAGCTCTTTTGTATTAAGAGTGAACATTTTATTCTAAGGGATTTTTTCAATGTCCTGCAATATCGTGTGTGTGTGTATGAGTGTGTGAGTGTGTGGCTCGGCCAACCTGTAAGACTCCTGGAAATGTGTGTTTTAATAGAATGACAGTATTATCAGTAAAATAGTTCAGGGTTATTAATACTAGAAACATGAACAGAATAAAAAAGGTTTAATTAGATTTGTTCTCTTACTGATACAAGTATGGGTATACGCATGATACTGCCCACAATGCAGTATCAGATATCGGGTACTGGGAATCGGATATCAGGGGTCCGGTACCCCATACCTTGCATCAGGTATTGTGTATATGGTATGAGAGAGTGTCAGTCAAAGAACCCATCTGATACCATAACCAATAAGCCTTAAAAAGTAGATTTGTAACAGGTAATTCATCATGTAATGCTAATAAAAACAACCATGTTTTGTAAAGTTAGTCAAACATTTCAGCAATCAGTACTTTACAATATTAGGTTTTTAATTCACAATGGTTTGGAGAGAGGGGTACTCGGTATCAAAATCGACCAATCCTCAGGTCTAGGTACCAAAATCCATACTGTGAAGGAAAAAAAAGGTTGGTAGTACCTAAAGCACACACACACAAACACACACACACTGTAATGAGTGACCCATATGGCAGGTCACATTAGCTAAGATGGAGGGCAGGGGGAAGATATTCTTGGGTCCACACAGCCTCCACATTAATCACGGCTGTCCTTTCCCACTCTGTCTCCCTCACTCCTTGTGTCAGCGGTCATGTACAACACAGGGGGGAGACAGCTCCTCTTTTCTCTCCCTTGTTTTTTCTTCCGCCTCGTCTCCATTGTGGCGACGCCGAGGTGAAAACTTTCAAAATGGAAAAATGCACATCCAGCAGTCTGAGACGGTGGCACAACCGAAGGGGAACAAAACAACGAGAAACAAACAAAAACCTTGCCCTTCAGTTTTCCTTTTTTTCTTGAAATTCTGATTATCTAGTCACAGTAAGTATATGAAATAAGATTTATGATTCATATTCCCATATGAGCATGTTACACATAAAAGCAATAAATACCATTTCATGATGCATAATAAAGAAAACAGCCTGGGTCCAATGAGTTTTTTAAAGTGCATTTGTGTGTTCATGTCCCTTTAAATAGCTTTTAGTAACACACACACACACACACTCACACACACACACTCACTCACACACACACACACAGCCACTCAATGCTCAGATGAAATCAGCCAGAGATAAGGGGATTGAGTGGGTTTTTGTGATTAAAATAATCTGATTGGCCCCGCAGGCAGCCAGGTGAGAAGTATTAAACCGTTTGATTGGACATGGGATGCGGCGCTGAACCCAATTATGTGCGACCACAGCCGAGGAAGAGGTGCGAGAGGAATCGATACCGGCGCACGGGGCTGCTCTTTTAGACAACAGCCCATTCTGCGCTTTGCCACCATCTATCTGGAAGTGATGCAGACAGGCCACACACACACACACACACACACACACACACACACACACACACACACACACACACACACACACACACACACACACAGTCGAAGCTTTCCCCCTTCTTTCCATCTGTTTACTCTACATTTTGCTCTCCTTTGTTGCTCATTTTGGATTATGTTCGCTCCCTTGTGCTCTTATTTCTTTTGACGCAGGCCATCAAAGATTTGTTATTTAAAACAATATTACAGACGATCTGATGTAACAATGTTGAAACTCGTGCAGAGTGTCAGAAGTCCATGACTTTGAGTACAACATCTTGTAAGTAGACAACACTTACACACAACAAAAAGGCTTGTAGGGAGCAAATGAGGATGTTCAGAACAACCTCAATTCATCCCTCTGTCTTAAAGGCTGATATTTGTTTTTAGTTTGACATTGAGTCCTGTCTGTTAAAACTCTTAGCACAGCCTCTGTCTAACCCAAGCTGTTGTAGGTTCTGTCTCTATGAGGCCTCCCTCCCTTAAAGCCCACTTTCTTCCAATTGACCACCTCCCTGGAACCCTTAAAGTGCCTCCCATAGACTGTATATAAAGCATGGACATACTGTAGTCCCAGTGATGTCACTCATTGGTTTCTGAAGTGGGGTTTTGAAGCTGAACGATGTTGGAAATGCTATCTCAACCTAACTTCCAATCAATGTAGAAACAGGCAAAGTGTTGAAGTAAGGGCCGACTTAAAGCCTCCTGGCAAACAGCTACAACTTTACAATTTTATCAACATGACTACAGTTATTATACTGCACGTTTCACGATGCACAAATCAAAGAATATAATTAAAAAAAAACAACAGGATGGATGCAGGAAGGATGAGCAGAGTGTGTGTCTGCAAGTATGTTTGGGCAAACGTCCATCAAGCAGGTGGACCTGATAGGGCGTTGCTAGGATACAAAGACAAATCGAAGTTTATACACTGTGAGATGACCCCGCAAAACCCCCGACAAAATAAACAGCCCCGCCGCACTCACACACAGAAACACAGACAATTACTTTGCCCAACCCAACAATTCTGCACCGAGTGTTTCCTCTCCCCTGTAGCACTGAGAGCAAAGCGATCCAATTCCTCTCACTATCCAGCCTCCATTATATCAGTAATCTCTCTTTTCATTAGGGGGGAAGGAGGAGGAGGAAGAGGAGGAGGAGGAGGAGGAGGAGGAGGAAGAATAGAGGAAAAGAAGGCTCCTGAAAAATAAAAAATAAAGGGGCGGGAAGTATACGCATCCATATAGAGGCAAAAACAAACTGAGATATTTCCATTTTCTAACCTATAGATTAATAAAGCCAGGGGCGGAGCCAATGGGATGCCATGGTGGCCATAGCAACCCCAGTAGCCAGGCCAAAACTCCATTCTATGTCTGGATATGTGCCTTGTCACATGGGCAGGACTTGTGTTAAACCTATCTTTGCTGTGTTGCAGCAGCCTATAGCTCTCTTCTTCAGTCCTTAAACAATTAAACTAAGAAGATTTTAAATGTTGAAGTGTTACTTTTTAAAGTTTCCTCTGTGTGTGTATGCGCACATACTACCTCAGGCCCCACTTACACCACCCAGTTGAAAAGTCTAGGTCCGCCACTGAATGAAGCAACACATTTCTGGACAAACTGGTCTATTTCTGGTAACAGCATCACTTCCTGTATGGTTACAAAAAAATGTTCTTGACACAAAGATGAAAAGTCTCAAGCCCTCCCTTGTTTCTGCCGATGTCTACTAATGTCTCACTTTGAGATGAGAGCTTGTGTTTTATCTGAAGAGTCTTCACTGCAGGGGGAAAAGTCCCTACAAGGATGTTAGGATAAGCTGCCTAATACTCGGTGTGTGTGTGTGTGTGTGTGTGTGTGTGTGTGTGTGTGTGTGTGTGTGTGTGTGTGTGTGTGTGTGAGAGAGAGAGAGAGAGAGAGAGAGAGAACTTGCTTGAGACAGAGGCGTTTACCCTTCATCAAGACAAGGACCAGTCAAAACAATGAGCTATACTGTCAGCGCTTGTGATCTATGAGCTGCAGCAGCACACACACCAGCACACACACACACACACACACACACACACTGTGCGAGTTGTGGGCTGCTATCAGTGCTGATCTAGGTCTTTTAAGATGACCTAAGGGTATGTTCTTCACTTGAGCACACACACTCAGCCTCAGTCAGGATGTGAGAGATGAATGTACAAGGTGAACGCTAGCTTAGCAGTGTATTTGCCCGTCTTGTATTCTTTCTGGTGTGTGTGTGTGTGTGTGTGTGTGTGTGTGTGTGTGTGTTTTTACATTCTGTCTGCGCGGTTATTTCTGTGTGTTCGTCCAGGCAGCAAAAGATTACGCTAACAATTACACTTTTCTCTTCCCTGAGCTAGCAGTCTCACCGTGAAATGCAACACATGTCCGCGCAGCCACTTCAGCAGGTTTGTGTTTGTTGCACATAAAAGGATTTAGGTTTGTATTGGCTTGGGATCCTTTGCAGTGTGGCTGACTTGACTGTGAAAAATCGCAGGTTTTCTCCAATATGCAAAACATGTTGTTTATATTTTTTTTTTACTCAAAATTCCCTGCACAGCACTGGAGCACCTCTCCTGGATACCCTTCCCTCTGACGAAACATTAATAAACCACTTGTCTTGGGGGATTTGCAGTATAGTTCAAATTGCGACTCACTAAACTTCCTTCGTCTCTCCTTCTCTGCAGTCCCATCTGTCCATGTTTTGTTAATGCTCTGAGGAAAAAGGCAACTTCATTTACGTCTGAGGTACAGCCTCACTAGCTGTCAATCATTTTTGATCCTTTCTTCATGAAAACAATACTGAAAACGTCTTTATACTGTTCGTCATAATCTCTCCCCCCCCCAAAAAAAAAGAAGATTAAAACATCCAGGCAGCCGTGGACATGATGCTGCTTGTATAAAAATCCATACTACCTATCCAACCAAAAACACATGAAGACTATCCGACGTCCCTGACGCCCAGCCACCACCATCAGTCTGAGTCGTCCCCACCACCACCGCCGTCCTCATTCATGCACAGCCTACTCCGACCTCCACATCAGCGGCAAGGAAGTGTGGACAACAAGAATGCGAGGAACACAAAGGAGAAACCCTTCCTGCATATTATCCCATATGATCTTTTTTAAAAGCGTCTCGAATTTGTGCTATAAAAATAATGATTGATTGATTGATTGATTGATTGATAGCATTCTGGCTGCTTATTATTCATAAATGAGTGCTTATTAGTACCTGATTCTACATGACCCTAGCTAATACTAAGAGTTAAATTGATCTCCCCGATGATGAAAAGTGCTAAATAAATATGTTAGCATACTACTTTACCGCAACTTAATTTATTTATTTATTTTAACAAACTTTTAATATTCAATTTTCATGTTCTTCAGGTGTATAAAGAGTATGGAGTTGACATTTCTTGTTGTGGAAAGCTGAATAATGATGTCGCCACACTGATTAGCCTACACATCAACAAGCCTTATAATTACATTAATCTTTAAATTAATCAATTAGTTTAAATCCATCAGCAGATGACGTGCGTTATAACTCTTGGTATCCTCGGCTGCAGTGTGTGTAGAGTGTAACTAACATGTCTCTGGACAGCTTACATGACAGCTGCCCCAGAACGCAGTGTGTGTTGTGTGTGTGTGTGTGTGTGTGTGTGTGTGTGTGTGTGAATGTGTGTGTTGTGTTTGTGCGTACATGGACTTCCTGAGTTCTGACCCTCATATATCAGGGCTAGAGACTGAAATTACCTGTCAGAACAAACTATAGCCCCCCCCGCCTTTTCCCCACACATAAACACATACACACATACACACAAGCACACAGCCCCACCGACAGACGCACAGTGATAAATAAGTGTGAAAGTCTTTTAAGGCACAATGTTCACTACAGTAAGGTGAGAGATACACTGTAAATCTCTCATGATGGAATATTCTCTTAAGGTGGCAGAGGGGGTGTATTTCTCTTGTTTCTCGTTCGGACTCTCTCACACACACACACACACACACACACACACACACACACACACAAACCTCCAGCATGCTCGCAGCATATTTTATACTGGAGCACAAGTTGTCACTTGGTCTGATTGCTGCACTGGCCAGGGCTCTTAGCCGGTCATTTGTCTCCTGTTTTTATTTAATTTTATTTTTCGATTACTCAGCAAAACACATTCATCTTAGAAGTGCCACGGTGGATTTATCATCATGGCTGTCACGGGGAAAAAAGGAAGTGAGCTAAAAACTTCACTGAAAGCCTTCAAGGCAAAGACACTTGTCATCAGAACTACAGACCCTTTCTCTTATTCAGCTCAATCTATTAATATAAATGTCTTCAAAACATCCTTTTTCTGATTGTGACATGTTTTTTAGCTGACTTCTAGATGGAGACAGAATCCACTGAAAAACTTTTTGTTGCATGAGAATCAGAAAATCAACTAACTTAGGGTTAGTTGTTATTATAAAATCTTCAGTGGAGTGGAGCCCCCTGAAGAACTCAAGAAACGAGTCATACAAAATACTGTGACACACTTTAAATATTGCAATATGTCACACGGGGGCTGTAAATTTGTACATACAACCCATCTGCCCTCCTCTGTGTGTGTGCCATGTCCCCCCCCTCGCTCCCCTGACAGCCGCTGATGGACTAACAACACACACTGGCCCGTCGCCCCGACCTGGCCCTGACCAATCATGTCGCTCGTGTTCAATCCCCGAAGCCCTATTGGCTGAGCTCTCTCACCCACAACAAAGCCATCTGTGGCCACTCATCACCTGGGTAACAACCTGAGGCAGCAGAGCATGCTGGGAACAAAGTCAGCTGGCTCTAGATATTCGCCAATTCTCTTTTTGTGTAGTCGTGTTTCCATAGAGCTAAATTAGAGTTTAAAGCCCAATTGAGGTTGTCAAAGGTGCAATCAGTCATACTTGAGTGTCTCTTTTGCACAAAATGACCATCACTTATGAGCTGCTGAGCAATGCCAGAAACTCCCCTGTTGCATTAATGACCCCTGAAATTTCAAGCTCTCAAAGCGGACACATTTTTCTCTCTCCAGTCTTTGCTATGAGTTCTTTAATCTCTCAGGGCCCTGGAACTATCCCAACTGACAAATGATCGAGGTAGAAAACTCTCAAACTGAAATGTTCTCAATCCTGATGCAAGCTCGACAAGATAAAAGTTGGATTGATAAGTAATCTATGATTTGAAGGTTAGCAAGTCCAAATAGTTTGTGGTTGATTTATTTGCCAAAAACCTAAAGTGTGTCAAGACAGTCAAATGTCAAAGAAAAGAAAACGTAAGCTGGCCTATAGGGAAAATGTATAAAATGTTTTCTCAAACTTTAATCTGTTAAGGGATGGAAAGAAAGTGCTTCATATAAGAAGTTGTAAGTTCATGTTTTACAGATCGGTTTATAAGGGGTGGGAATAGCAGGGTAACTCAAACAGTGATTCCGCGATCATCGATACATTACAAGACAAACATATAATGATGCATCCAGAGCACAAAATGCCCCTAAAAAGTTGAAAGAATAATGTATTTATTCAATGAACTTTGGTGGTAGTTTCCCTCAGATATCATCCCGCTGTCTTCTTCTTCTTCTTTGGCCTATTACCTATTGTTCACCTCGGCCTCATTCATGTCATAAACATCACAGTGAGAGGTCATGATGTGAGTCAAACTGCCAGGAAAGTATGTTTAAGGCACCATATATTTTTTTAAAAGGTAAATATCCATAATCGGCACCAGTGATTGCATAATTGTATCTCACAGGTCAGGATGACGATATGTTGTTGTGTCAATATTTTGTCCCACCCCTACTGTTTCACATTTTGTTTCTTCTCTCTGTTCCTCTCTGTTTACGCTCAGACTCATTCTCATCCTTTCCTGAAATATAATCACGAGTGAAATGGAAAAACCAGCTGCTAATACTTGCCACAAATTGACAAGCAGATGTAGGAATGTCTCACAGTGAGAATAATATCATACAACCTTCTAAGATGTGGTTGGGTAAAAAACAAAATGTCCACAAGGTACTAATTGAAAATGTAAAGAATAATGGCATGATTATGCACAGTCTTACACACAGGATCTAGTCCTAGTATTACATTGATGTCCTATGTTTTCATAAAATAATAAGCCGATGGTTAAATACCATCCATATGGTTTAATATGTATGTAAATGTGTCCTTTTCCCAATGATTAAAGCTTTCGAATTACAAAACGAGGCAGAGAAATATAACATTTCCCACATTTTTGGAAGCAAATATTGCCATTTCTAACTCCAGATTTGTAATTTCACACATCATTGTTCTAAAAAAGAGAACAATAATGGAATGTAAACACCGGTTGTATGCATCTCTTCCTCCTCTGCCAGATGGAAAGCCAGACAGAGCTGGCAAGACCTGCGACATCTCCCACTGGCTGCTGGGGAGCGAGCGCATGATGAGAGAGAGAGAGAGCAGAAGAGGGTGAATGAGCGGCGGGAAGAATAAATGAGAGGAGGAACAGAAGGACTCATCAAGGAGCTCTTCAATTTTGGAGAGCACTCATTTGTAGCAGCCACCCGCTGTTACCCCGGTCTCGATTTCTTCCCTTTTCCCTGTTTCCTCACCGCCAGAATTGCAAACTGCCTCCTCGACTCCCATTCAACTTTTATTTTTCTCTGACTCCCATACTTCCTGTATTCTCTTTGCTCTCGCTTTCAATCCCTCGGTCTTCTATCCAGTAATTGCATCTTTTTTTCAATCTCAATACTTAGCGTTGACTTGGTGGAAACTCGGGGGGAAGTCTCTAATTACTGAGGACAAAGGTAGAAAACAGACAGACAATGCAGAAATTCATGCATTCAAACAAACATAAACAACGGATTCTCTCTTGATGTTATAGAAATACACAAACCCTGAAGACATGTTCCAAAAATCTGTTGTGTCTCTTTCTCTCCCCTCTTAAAAAATGCATATCCCACTGAATATCTTACTCATAATTAAAGACATAGGCCCAAACAACGAATTCACATCCTCCTTCTTTACTTACTTGTGTAGTGCACTGGGTGGCAGCTTGGTCGTCTTCTCCATCTGGCCATAACAGGACGTCCTGGCTTCAGGTATGTCGCCATATTCCTCCAACATGGCTGCCGCAGCTGAGGTTATGATCCCCAAACCATCCCGAACTCTCGCCTCCAAAGGGTAGTCCCAGTCGTCGTATGACACCGATAGCATTCCTGGCGGAAACTCGTCGGGAGTTATCTCTGGGTTCCCGGTCGTGAGGGACGGCACGATCCAGATGTATCCGAATCCAGTGAGGCCCAGGGAGCGAGCCTCCTCCAGGATGTAGACCGCCTCGTCCTTGGAGCAGTAAAGCAGAACCACGGGGGACTGGACCTTCTTGAGCATGATCTGAGAGCGGCTGTCTTCCTCCACGGCGTCCAGAATGATGATATTCTGCAGGTCCCAGCCCACAAAACTAAAGCAAGGATAACAAGGACAAGAGTGAAATGTTAATATTTAACTAATAGACTATTAACTTTGCTCAGGTGCTGGCAAGGGCACTTGTAATTATCCATTATAATTAATATCATTGTTAAGTGCGATGGGAATGCTAATAGGTGTAGAGTGCTTATTGTCAGGGGAAACGCATTAAGGCTGAATGGAATGCAAATGCTAAAGCTGGTCCTGGATAATGACACTCAGCAGGTTCCAGCCCATACGACTAAAGGACAATGAGAACAAACAGTGGTCTGTTCATGTGAAAGGACCAGCACAGTGCTAATAGCCAATGTGTTAATTGGTGACAACTGTTATCAGAAGATATTGTTGCTATCAACATGGAGAGCAGCTTGTGTTGCACCTTTTGTTTGACCAAAAATTGCTGCACAGCCATGTGACATTTGTGCAGATTATTTTCTACACAATGTTTTTGTTTTAGTTGACAATTTTTTGCACAGCAGCCATTTTCCTTTGACATCGTCCTCAGGGTATAGGAAGCTAAAATTGCTGTTGATGTTGTTGGCTAATGCTGTGTCCCAACATACAAGTCGCTATATTCTGGGAAATATGACAAATATTGATTCTTTCACATGATTCAGTAACATTCAACAGCATGAAAACGAACAAACAGTGAACACCTGTCAAATATTTGGTTAAGTAAAATAACATTTTGGGTACCCATTTGGTCCTGTTAAACGACAGTTGATGTTAACAGCTAGTAACTTCCTAGCTAATATTACTTTTAGCTAGGATTGTGTTCAAATGCTAACTTGACTTGAAGAAAGGTATATGGAGACTTGACTCAAAAACATCATACTTGACGCACTGATCTACTAGCTTCCCGACAACAGCTAACAGGTAATGTTAGCATTCTGTCACTTCCTAGGATACTTTCAGTAAATTACGCCTTTTGTATCAGTTCATTCAAAACTAGCAAAATGTAACCTAGGCTGTTTAGCCACTTTCTAGCTAACAGTTAAATGAGCCACACATTGGATGAATTAATAAAGAATAAAAATACAGATAAAGAAAATAGTGAAATGACAACAATTATACTTAATCCATGTAAATTACAACATACTACATAAATACACAGCAGTATGACATCATAACAGCATTAGAGCTTGACTTTTGAGCTTGAGCTTAAGTGAAAACAGATCTGTATAATTCCACATTTTTAATTTAGTCCTGTTGCAGGAGTTGAAAGCAACAGAGCATATTTTTAACCAAGTGAGACTGGCTGCTCTTTTCACAATGACAGGTGTGATGTTATACAGCAGGTACATGAACCCATGGCTTGAAAGCAGCAGAAACAAAGCAAATGGCAGTTGTGTTGCTGAAGTTATTAAAAAAAGTAAAATATCATAAACTGGTAGCATGCTGTGGTGTCAGAAGTAAAGGTCCTTGTGAGTGTTACAACGTGTGAAACATGGTGAGTAAATTGGGAAAAGCAGTTATTTCATCATGCAAAGTATCCAACAAGAGATAGGCAGTGTAACATGAGAGTGATTTGGGACTTGCAGTCCTCTTCTCGCTGTCCAAAGTGATAATGGTCTACACATCGCAGATGACAAGACTAGTAAAGAGAGACAATGAAACACAAAGACATGTTAACAAAGAGAGCCAAATAGAGAGACAGCGGGGGTAATAACAATATGGGAAAATTCAATTTCAATCTTCTACAAAAAGGTTTCGAAGATATAACAAAACAGATGCAGGTGTGGTTCGTCTGAACAAAACCAACCAGCCTTAAATCATTTAATATTAATTTAAGCTGGTTACATAATTTACATATAAGCAATACTACAGGTCTGTTGGGCAGTGGTCATTAATTTAAGCTTAATATTAATTAAGCTGATTATACATTGTTTTTTTCACCTTTGTGCACTCTTTACATGCAGATCAATCATGCATTCTCTGCTGGAACAAATGAATGTGTATGGTGTGTGTTTAATCATGAGAAAACTGAAACTACTGGACTCTCTTGACTATTATATGTAGAAACAACATACAGACCAACCGCCTGTCTGGATTCATTTCCACTTGAAAGTTGATGTATGAAGCCATCTGTTAATAAATTTATTCTCATGTTATATAGCCTACCTTGGTCTGTATTTAATGTAAGCTGCAGCTCATACTAACGTTTTCTATTTTTGGCCAAGCCCTCACTAACTGAGTTGATTAGTCCAATTTTCTACAGTAAGTGATGGAAGTTCACTGGTATCAAAACTGTCACAGGAAATCAATGTCATCACAGACAGTCGATAGGGCTTCATCAAAAATAATTGGAATTTCCATTAATTCTGGTTTCATAACTGATATTTATGAGCGTAATTTTAACTTTAAGGACAGAATCGATCCTCACAGTTATCAACATAAGAATGTTTAGTAACTTTTCAGATCTTTAATGCTGTGTAGCATCCTCTCACTGAAGTATCATACAGTAAATACATTTTTACGGAGTAGATATTGATTGCAGATGATAAATGGTCATCTACACAAACATACAAAAGCAGCTTGCACTTCCCTCAAACTGGAAGGGACAACTTGCACAGAATCTGACCTCTGCAGAACTCTGCCTGGTCTTTAAATATGTTTGTTTCAGTTTTATTAAAACGTCAACTAATAAGACAGCAAAAACCCCTACCATGCAAGACATTGGGCACCAATTCAGATGTGGCATTTTTTTTGACATTGCCTTTCCTTTCAATATTATTTGGAACATTACCGCTTTCGTTAAATACAGAGATCATAGCATGGTTTAATGTATATGGTTTCCTAAATCAGGGGCGCCAATTTAGCTCAATTGGTTAAGCAGGTGCCCTAAACACTGAGGCAAAGTTTTCCAAGCACTGGCCACAGGTTCAAAGTCGTGGCCTGGGTCATTTGGTGCATGTCATCCCCACTCTTCTGAATTTCCCTTGGGATAAACTAGTATGTGTCTAGATCAGAATTCAAAACTTAATTTGGCCATTTTGTTACATTTTGTAGCTCAAACTTTCCATTTTTGGACAGTAACAGCTGTTTTGGAGATAGATCAACGATCTTATTTAATAAGTAATTAAAGTATCCATTCTCACTCTTCTTGTCCTTTAAAAGACTGTCATACCAAATACATAATTGGATTTTGAACCAGTTTGGTTTGACATAAAAAGTAACTGCTAATGAAAAAGACCCTCCTCGGTTGGGCTTCAATATATCATAGATGCAGGCACCAGCCCCTGCCAACATCCCAACACTGCTGCACATGCATCATTAACTTGACATATTTTTTGCCAAGAATTATAGTTTGCTGGTCTCTTTAGTAGTTTTTCTCTTTCTCTCTGTGGAGAGTTTCGGCATCAGTCAATATAACCTAAAGGTGCGGCAGACAGCCAAACCACATGTGCAGTAAACCCACCTGTCATCTACACTCATCTTAAGAACGCTGATGAAATCCTTTCAGGCTGGCTGTCTCTGAAGTACATACTGTATGAGTGTGGGAGATGAAAAAGACAACAAAAAAAACACATTGTGTGCAGTAACTCTTTAAGTAGACGTCGCTTTCCTCTGACGAAAATCTGCAGTGGTACCGGAGAAGATTAAAGAGAGAATGGGGGTGGTGGTGGTGGTGGGTTAGCGTTTGAGAAAATGCCCGGGGTAAGTGCGTATTAACAGTTCAAGAAATAAACCTAAAGAGTTTGATATCACCATTTTACTTTCCTGCAATTTTTCTGCTTTTAAATATAATTTGATGGGATGAATGGGCCTCATTCACAAATGTCTTCTGAAGATGTTATTTAAATGTGTTGTTAAGACCTTTATAGGAAAAACCTACATCAGATTCATGACGTGTTCTAAATCAGTACAATTGTTCACACCTGTACGTGTTCTTATACCAATGTTTGTCATGTTTTCTTAAACTGGAAGCTCGTGCATGTGGGTTAGGGTTAACGATTGTGCACTGGTGCACTGGACGCCAAGTTAGAAATACTTAAGTAGTTCTAAAGTCAGTTCAGCTAGCAAACAGTGCTAACAGTATGCTAGCTGCAAGAGAACATTTGCGATGTAATTTTGTTGTTCGTATGATAAAGATTTGAGCTATGCTAGCAGCTGAGCTTTAGGGTTAAAGATGTCTGCCCATTGGTTCAGACTGAAGTATCTGAACATTAAACGTAACTTTGGAGCTACAATGAAGTTGATGATTTTGTACTGAGTGAAAGTTCAGTTTTAAATGGAATACCTGCTAAACTCAAACAGGGAATTGTTATTGAGACAATGTAGCATGCTAATGTTTGAAAACAGCGTATTCTTGGGTGGCATTAATCATCAGCTGTAAATTTTTTAGGAACTTTAATAGTTCATAATCTAAAAGGAAGAAAATTCAACTGTAATGAGCAGCACAACGCAGTTTGAGTCTCCTTGATCCCACCTGTTGTCGACAGTTGTTTTAAGGATGTTGATGAACTCCTGATATCCGGGGAACTTCGACGTGACGATGGAGAAAATGTGCCAGTCATACTCCTCCATGATGTTGAGCATGAGCAGCGCCTCCTGCTGGATGGAGGCCCCGAACTGGAAGAAAGTCGACTTCACATCCTGAGAAAAGAAAAAAGTTCAGGAAGAAGGGAGGGATGACGAAAAAGCGGAGGAGAGGAGGAGGAAATAGAAAAGGGAAGAGGAGATTTAGTTGAAGATTTATTTGGATTTTTTTGCTTCCCTTATTAGTCCAGCAGCTAATTCAAACTGCATCTCAGCAATATCAATCAGCTACAGAGCATTTAAACTTTGGCACGATATGAGTGTATACACACACACACACACACACACACACACACACACACACACACACACACACTCATACCCACGACCAAACACACACAGATCGAGAGTAATAAGCTTCTTGCGGAGAAAATATATGGATGAGGGGCTCAGAACAATTCAATTAAGGCCAAATTGGATTGGTGCGGAACAAGCTGGCTGCAGAACTCTGTGGGCCTGGTTCTAGGGGGCGGGGGGGGGGGGGGGGGTGAGAGCTACATTCACTCTGACTCACACATATCCACTCCATTAAACCTGACTCTGAATCATTTGCCACTTAATTTCAGCCAAACTGAGACATGACGCTTGGACAAAGCAGACAAGCACAATTACAGGTGGACAAATTGACTATTCATTCATTTTGAGGTTACAAATGCATTATGGTACTGGCTGTTTAATGAGCTTGATTGGAAGGGGAAAGAAAAGGGTTGTTGCATCACAAAATTGGCTCTGACTTTGACTTTGGTTGTTTGTTGCGTCATTTGTTGTGTGGACTTTGTTACCTTGAAATGTCAGAGAGTTCACACTGCCTGTCTTAGGCACTCTAATTGTGATAGACTCGCAGGTTGGTGTGTTTGTGCGTGTCTTCTGTGTTCGTGTGTGTGTGTGTGTGTGTGTGTGTGTGTGTGTGTGTGTGTGTGTGTGTGTGTGTGTGTGTGAGTGTGTGTGTGAGTGAGTGTGAAGCTGCAACCTGACAGCTACAACACACACGAAAGAAAGAGAAACGAGGGCAAGAAGACAGCACAAAAGGTTGGAGTGAGCGATATGAGACAAATGAAGACAAAGAGATTCCACCCGGTGTCACTTTGTAAGATCACACCTGCCCTTAAAATGAACACCACGCACCGCCATACACTCACACACATAAATGCACACACTGCCTACAGCCTGCATCCACAGGAATGAATCCACAGTGTGACTAAGGCGGAAAAAAAAACGGGAGAGTTGTTGAGTTGGTTGTGTGATGAAACAGCAACAGTGACGCTAGGGGCTACTGTGTGGTGCGATGGTGCCTGGCATTAGCCTCAATGCCAAAGTGTATCCCGCAAAAGTTGGGTTTAAAACACACCTTGAAGGACCTGTTAGCTAAAGGTCAAATTAATCACTCTTTGGATTTACATTGATGCAATCTCCATTTGTAATAACCGACAACGGTTTTGGATTTATCCAGCCAAGACGGACACTTTGCATTGCTTACAGTCCGACTCATGCACCGAGAATGGGGTTGGTGTTGAGAAACTACATCTGAGAGGCGATTATTAGCTGCACTTTTATGCCGATATCCTTTTGTGGAGATTATTTAGGCTACATTGTCGAAAGACGCAACAAATGGGTTCTTAGACTGTATTACATTGGATTATGTTCTTTACAGATTTTGCATTATTTATGCAGAATCTACCAAAAGAGATTACAACTTCTAAGACACAGCGTAGGTCTAATACGACTGAGCACAGGGAGTGTAAATAGACAAAGGCAGAAAGCAGGGACTGAGCATCGACGTTCGCAACCATATCAGCTCACTGTATATAATTCCATCTCTACATGCATGACCTAGCTTTTCCTTTTCCACTTTGTGTATAGACTCTGAATAATGTGGGTGATTTACCGTTTGCATCATTGGTGTGTGTGTGTGTGTGAGTGTGTGCAGGCATGTCTTTCCCCCCTATACCAAGACGCTGGCGTGCTCTGTAATGGTATTGTATCTCTATGTGAGGTTGGCTCACTCGATACTTACACTCAAGTGCTCTTCAGAGGCTCTCTGTGTGTATGTGTGTGTAGAAGATATAGTTCTAATGGGGTAGAAACTGAAGCAATGCTCGAGCAGGGTGGGACAGGAGGGAGGTCATGCTATAAGACATGTCACTCCTGTCTTCATCACAGCGCCGGCCGATACTCCCACACACTCTGCAATATTCAGAGGACTGTGACGAGCAAAGGGCCGGCAGTGGAATACACAGAACAGAATAAAAGCAGCAGGTTTACACTGGACTCTGTGTGGGGATGTTTATTCTAATTTGCATTGGTTTAATTGAAAATGATACCTGCCACCTTTGGACTGAATTACATGTTCCATTTTCTTATATTGATGAGGTGTTTTTTTGTGCTTTGTTAGGTTTGTTTGAGGGTCATTAGGATATTTCTGACATCCACTGAAGGATCATTTACTTGTAAAAAATCAGGGTGTCTGTGGCTCAGTTGGCAGAGTTGGTTGTCTCTTCGATCCCCAGCTCCTGCAGCCAAATGTCCGATGAGTCCTTGGGCAAGACGTTCAAACACAAGTTGCTCCCCTGCTTGTGTGTGAATGGGATTAGTTCATACTGATGGTCAATTTTCATAGCGACCTCTGCCATATGTGTGTGAATAGGTTATCAGATAATTGGAGGAGGGTATGATACCCAAGGCCACCCGTTGAATATCCCCACTTTTGGTATCCTAAAGAGGGGGAGCCAAAATCGGCAATGGAGCCTCACACAAATCTCCATTAGCAAAATAAACACTCTTTTGTTAACACGATTGAAAATGGAACAAACTGTATCTCTTTATTTTACAAGGTGTCATCTTGTGAAACGCGGAACGAAGCGGATCTTGAGTGAACTGAATATTCTCCTTTTACACGACTGTGTGATCAGAAGCACCGCTCAGGATGAAACACATTCGACAAGGCTTCAATATTCTTTGTCAAAATGGGCATCTTCTGCTGGCCTACAACGTCTTATTCTGAGACCAGAGGCGCCTCTACTGAACACTCGACTGACAACACAGCTGTGAATCGAATCTCACCTCCCTCTCTGTGTTCACACTCTCATACTGAGGGAGAGAAGGCAGCCACACTTCAACCCTCTGTCTGTCATTTTGTGTTTCGCTGTCCGTCAATTGTTTCTCTCAAAAAGAAACGGACGCAGAAATATATAAAATATCACTAATTTGATGTAGCTTTCAGCGCAGGTATCCTACATACTGTCTAATACACACCACCGTTTTCACCCTATTATATTTTCTTATTTGATCAATTGTTGGTTTTAAATGTTTGTTTGTTTTTTGGGGCTTTTTTTATTCCTTTATTGTAGAGATAGGATAGTGTCGGAGGTCAGGGAGAGAGAGAGTGGGGAATGACATACTGCAAAGGAGGCAAAGGTCGGACCTGAAACCAGGTCACCCGCCATGAGGACCAAAGCCTCCGACAACGGGGTTCAAGCCCCAATCGCCCCAGATTCATAGGATTTATGAAACACTTTGAAGCACAATTCTTAATAAGTTGTACATGAACAAACTTTAGAATTCTATTAAACTATTGTAAATCCCACGTTTTGCTTATGCTCCTTATATTCTATTGTTTTGCTTTTTTTTGCAAAGCAACTACTTGATATGTAGAAAATCTGATGGAATGAAAAGAAACAATTACCAAGGAGAGGCACAAGGATAAAAAAAAAATGATGTAGTGACAAAAACACTAAACACAAAGGGACAAAATTATAGACAAACAGAGAAAATTTAATCACAGGGCAGGCAGAGAGAAAAGACGAGTGATTGGAAACATGCGGAGAAGAGAGTGAGGGGGAGACTAAACACTGGATGATTGTTTCTAATTGGGACGGCTCACGGTCCGTGACATCAGAAAACAGCCAATCACATCCTCTCATTTCACCCCTGTCAAGTGTGACATGTCTCTTCTCCACACTCCACACCTTCAGCTGCATGGCTGCACACACACATACACATACACATCCACACACACACACACACACACACACACACACACACACCAACACATTGTCATTCACAGCTCTTTTGCCTCGTGCTCCGTCTATCACATTCAAAGAGTCTCAAATCTCCCACTTACCAACGCACAAACACGATGACGCTCACACAAACACACAAACATGCACCGGGCCCCCGGGGCGGGACAGTGTGTCTAAGTTGAGATAGAGGTGAGTTATAAATAGTAGTCCTCATATCCTCTGCTGCTGATAGCATCATGCACTGTCTGTTCAGACGGCATGCGTTTGGAAAAAAAAAGTAACACACATATATATTAGTTGACTTGCGAGCTCGATAGTACACATGCATTTATATACACACAGATATCCTGTTATCTTTGGGGTGTAGCAGTTCTGCAGTGTCCACTGGAGGAGAGACACACTGATGTGACAAAAATTCCTTGGTGGCCGGTTCCTAAATATAAACACACGGGCTTAAAAATAGCCGCAGCAACACAGAAGAGCTCCAAATGTCTGTGGAAACAAACCCAAGAGCCAAGGAGACGGCAAATGCCCGATAAGAGTCCCTACAACCACAGCCAACGGAAATAAACGCTCAGAATACTCAGAGCAGCATAGGCACTGCTTTAACCAGCGTGAGGTTTGTGGTTTTATTATATTTTGAAAGGAAATTGAAAAAGGAAAAAATAGACTTTCGATCCAGGGAAAGCAACGCTCGACAATAAAACTGTTTTATTCTAAGGCTGTAAGCAAAGACGTCATATAAACTTCAACATAAAGGTATTTTCTGCAACTTTTGGTCTTCAGCGAGAGGAAGATCTAATAAAAACTTCTAATTCTTTTCATGTATCATGTCTTTTTTTTAATGAACAGCTTTTCCAATGCCATGAATCATTATCAGGATCAGCTTTATTTGCCAAATTTGTACAAACATACAAGGCATATCACTCCAGATCTCAAGGCTACAATACGGTACGATGCGGCCAGTAGGTCTTTGTCTGGCTGCTGTTGTGTCCTGCCGGATGCTCATCAGCTAAATGAGCCGTACCTGTGTCGATGTGCTCCGCCTTTGAAGAGCTCCTGGTTTCCCTGATTGACTCTCTGACTCTTTAGCTCTCTGACCTAATCTGGCTCTGGTTTTGAGACTACATCTCCCATAGTAAGGCTGACAATTCTAGTTCTTTGCTTCTCCTCAGCATATACAGTTACAAACAAACATACACACACATTACCTCACTGAAACTGATGACACATAATGTTAAATAATGACAATAAATTCCTATTTTGTATTGCCAGTTAGGGTTTGCCTCCAAGTTTTGTCCGAAGGTATGAGCCGGGTTGTGACAATACGATACGACACGGCATGACATGAAAACAAGTTCACTAAAGGGCAGCACCGCGATAGTGCAGTGGTAGTGACAGCAAAGGACGATAAAATGAAAATAAAGAACTATCTTTTTGGTCATATATCGACCCTACTAAATGATTTTAAGTTTGACTAATAAACAGGTCTACAGTCTCTGAGTCTCTGGAGGTTTATCTGAACTGGCGGTTGCCAAACATATCCACTTAAGAGTATCAAGTGTAAACACAAATTCAGAAGTTCAAAAAGTAACAACTAAAAGGCTGGCAGAGCTCATGTCTTCCTCCTTCTGAGTATCTTAGAGGGAAAGAGAATTAGGAGAGTAAATCTTTGCTGCGTGGTGGCTGGGATGAGTCCCAAATTAAAGTTGTGAGAGTGAAAGCCAATTTAATGATTTTTAAAGGTTATATTCTATATGTTTGCCAAATAAGTAAGACATCATTTAACGGGCTATTTTTAACAGTTGGGGCTGATATTATCTCCATTAATAAGGAGACTTGAAAGAAGAAAAGAGCATGTGTTTTTTTTTTTCAACAAGCAATTATCCCATTTTTAATATCCTCTGTCACACTCAGACAGGGGAGATGAATATTGCCTACACAAAAAGACAGTTTTAAGACAGATTTTTTTATAATGAAAAATGTTCCTGAATAGATGTTATCATGAAAAAGACAGTACAGGACCAAGACACTGGATTTGACACTGTGATGTGTGAAGCAACTCTGTCCTTGTTGCTGAAAGTGTCTAAAGAGACAGGAACTGTTGGGGGGGGTTGTAGGCATGACATGCAGCAAACAGCGTCAAGATCGGGACTTCAAACTTGGGATCAGTGCAACGAGGACATTAGCCAATGTACATGGGACGCCTGCGCATCTCACCGACAAATAAGCCAGCGCCCCCATCTGGACTACAACAAGTCAATTGAGCTATCATGTTGTCAACTTTATTCAGTCAATGCTGACATTTTTTTTTTTTTTTTTTACAACTTGGTAAATGTATTTCACAAATTAAACTTCATGATCCCCCTTTGGAACCAGTTTATCGAACTGATTGAACAAAGTTGTGTGGGCCCAACACTACACCTTTTTATCTTTAAGGCTGTATTTGCAAAGATGTAATGTCAATTGCTTTGCGTGTATTTGCACACAAATAAAAATGCAATGGAAAGAACTTCCAAAAAAAAAGTGCTTTATCCTCCTGTCTTGTCATTACAGCAGATAAATACCATTGCGCTAACAGCATTTCTTCTGTGGCGTCTTTTACTTAAAGCACATTTATGTGAGTGTACTGCATTCTCCTGCAAACGGCTCTGACAGTCTTATGAGACTGTGCAAGTTTATTCAGCCTTTATGAGATTTAAACGTTTAAAACAATAAGCAGATGTAGTGATGGCACGGGGAAGAAGAGTGTGTGTGTGTGTGTGAGTGTGTGTGTGTGTTGAGTAAGTGTTCATTACTCTGTATGAACTGAGGAGAGAGAAGATATCCTTTGTGTTGGATAATAATCATAGAGAAAACAGCAGCCTTAAATTGCTTTGGAGGCTAAGAACACACGCACAAAGATTATTAAACAAGGCTGCACTTGACGTCATAGAAGGAGAATATTTCTGGCATGAAAGCAGTCCATTTGAATAGATAACACACACACACACACAAACACACACACACACACACACACACACACACACACACACACACACACACACACACACACACAGGGAGAGAGAGAGACCTAAAGTTTATCACACTGGAGCAGTGTGTGTGTGTGTGTGTGTTGTGTTTGTGTGTGGGTGTGTGTAAGTGTGCATGTTTGTTGCCGCTGTGGTTCCTCTGTCAGGACTTTTTAACAAGCAGCCGAGCCCCCACGGGGAAACACTGACAAAATAACATCATCCCTCTCTCTCTTGGTCTCTGTGTGTTTGTCCTCCTCTCCCACTCACTCTCCTCTCTAATAAGTCTAATATCTTCCTCTCTGTGTCTTCCTCTCTTTTCGTTAACGCTCTGTCCAGGGGCTCCGTCTTTTCTCTCCCCTACCTCGATCCATCTTAGACTCTCCCACCCACTCCCTGTCTCTTCTAATAGGGCCCGTATTCTGCGACACTCCCCTGAGACCTGCCCCTTCTACCTTAAGCTGGAATAGCTGTCGTTAAAGCTTTTGTATAATGTCAGAATTTATGTGAAAATCCAATTAAAAACATTTTCTCAATAAACACGTCTTGAAAGCTCAAACTGATGCGACTGTAAGTTCATTTTTAAATGAAATGCTGTGGTTACAAACCTATGGGTTGGGACCCCACAAGGGGTCGCAGGTAAATCTCAGGGGGTCGATGAAAAGGAAAGTAAAGACGCAAAATAAAATACATATTTCCACAACAAAAAAATATATTTGACTGCTTCTCTTGGAGATTGAAAGTCAAATTTTTTCACAACTCTAAAAAACTATTTAATTTTTTAAGTGAAAAAATCTGCAAGCAATCAATGAAACTGTTTAAAAACATGTTCTTTGATTCACTCAATTTGGGATCGAAAGAGTCAGCAAAGTCAGAAGATTTGGATTTAAATAGAAAAATAGATTTTTAAGGCTTTATAGGTGAAAATGTCTTTTTATCACTTCTTCCACAGACATCATTAAACATGTGCTAAGCTGGATTTCACCCACTTTTTTTATTAAGAAACTTATTTAAAACATTGGAAATCTACATCCCGTTCTTCACTGAAACACTAAATAGGGCGGCTGTGGCTCAGTTGGTAGATCTCTCAACTGGAAGGTTGGGGGTTCGATCCCCAGAAGAAAAGAAAATGTGAAAATAACCCCCAAAAAATGGTTTAATTGGTAGCAATATGCAATTGGTCACCTGTGCTCCAATTTCACTTTAGGCAAAAAAAATCTTGGGAACCTGAACATGTACTATATAGTCCTGCTTGTTATTTGTATCATTATTAAACCTGCCTTTGCTATACTTGACATATAGTTTGTTTCTCACCTGTCACTATAGGGCAACTGATGGTCCCAAAATGATCTCCTGCACAGTCATAATAGAGTCATCATTATGAAAATGATCATTACTGTCAATGTTGCCATCAGGAACAGCCACAAGCATGATAATTATCTGTTTCTTAGCTGTCCTGCAGCATTCGCTCCATCCCCCTCCTCATTTAGGCCTCCTCTTGTGCCTTTTTGGACTTTCCCCAATTATCCTCTCCTGCTTCCTTAATGCCTTTCTCTTCAGCCGCACCACCTAACACTTTTGCAGGAATTTGAATGAACACAAAACCGGATGAGTCGAGGTGCTAATCACAATAAAATGGGTCTTTGAATTAAGAGTCGTTGCACAGCCCAATCCCAGAAGCACCAGAGCTTTATTGAATACATGTAATATTTCAATGAGAAAAACCCCCTTTGTCGAGATTACTTGTTGAAAAGTGTTTTCTTTTACAAGTATTGAATAAAGTAATCGTGTATGGAGGCAGTCACAGTGCAGCATTAAAGGGTTTATAGAATTGAAGCGTTTAAGGTGAGAGTTTGGGATCCTAATCTAAGGAGCGTCTTATTAACAGTGATAATGCACAAGACAAAGTTCAGACATGCACACACAATTTCAAGCACCAAAAAACCCACACACACATGTAAATGCGTGCCGTGTGCTGCCTTTGTACATGTGCAATCCCAAAGTCAAAGGGGTTTCTAAGCCTTATGTGCTGTGTTTGTGTGCCAGAGGGTTGTGTACCATGCTTAGTTCAATCCAAAGACAAAAACATACTACAGCTCAAACAGAATAGAACAACACCTAGTACCTAGGAAATACAACAAAAACAGAAAAATCAAAGGCCTTAAAGCCCAAGCTAACACAGGAACAAAACACCTAATGGAGCCATAAAGCAGCGCAGAAGAAAGGCTAAGGTGACGCGGGGGAGCGTGGTCTGTAATCATTTTTTATCTTAATCTCATGTTTTCAGGACCAATATCAGAGCAAATAGAGCTTCTGCACAGCACAATAATGGCCGGTCTTTTAGCTGGCAAACACGTAGAGAAAGAAAAGAAGGATAGAAGAATAAAGGAGGAGAAATATATCTTCAGTTCGGTGCAAATTAGCTTAGCCTGGTCAGCAAATATTTGCTGTGCAGCAGATTGTCTGGGCCAATGCTACTCGATTGTTCTAAATTAAAACTAAGATGGCATTCTTTGTTCACCAAGAGTCCCCCTGTAGCTGGATTTAATTATCTTTCAGAACACAATGAACAACACAGTTTCGAAATCTGTTTTTAAGGGGCTGTACTGTATCATCATGTCCAATTATGAATGTTTAGAGCTCTTTTGCGTAAACCTATCTGCTTCTGGCACATTGCTCGATCCATCTGATGCTTGCAGAAACACAGCAAAATGTGCAGAGTGACTTATACTTCATTGAGTTTTGCTAAGCCAGCACTCCTTCTCGAAATAGTGAGAGGGTGTTGCTAACTGTGCGGTTAATAATTTGAAATCATCCTGCTGTATCGACTGTTTAAAGAGCAGGTTAGCATGCTTGTGTGGGTCGGAAAAGCCTGTGGCTCTTTAGTTTTGAAATACAACCTAAACAAACATGATCAAGTGGACCCTAAGCAATTTTAGGTAACATGACATCAATGCAAAAACCCAGGTCTTCAAAAAAGTTGTAGACTGACGTTATAGGGGTTAGGAACAGGGGTGTATCCAGATGGGGTCAGCAGGGGCATTGGTCCCCCTTGAAAGTTGATTCGCCAGCCCAAGTGCCAACCACAATAAAAAAACTGTAATTATAGATATAAATACCGGATCAAGAATGGGTAAATAAATGATATTTATACTTGTGTATGTGCACATATACTGTATACCTCTTGCAACCCCTTCATAACTCAATGCCCAAGTTGGGCTACTGGAATCAGTCTGGACACGCCTCTGGTCAGGAAGTCCAGTCTTTTTGCTAATCTAAGCTTATTATCAATGTATATAATAAAGCTAATACATAGCCAGAAGCTAAGAAACATTTCAGTACAAAGGACATGCCTCCTCTCATCACATAACCCCCTGTTTGTACTCTATGCGGGGGCAAATCAATAGTGCATCATGTGCTGATTTCCCCCATAGAGTTGCTTCAGTCAGCTGTTATGGTCATCACTAACTACTCTGGCAGTGTCCCTGATTCATCACTGACACCAGCAGCCACACACTGATACTGAGAGACCTACTTTGCGGAGGACGAAACAGAGCGGGGTAGGAGGGAGGGGATGGATGGAACAAGTGGCAGGAAGATAGATGAGGATGGGGCAAGGAGCAATGTCAGGGAGCAAGAGCGGGGGAAAGGAGGGGGGAAGATAAAGAGGTGAGGTTGTACTGAAAATGGAGGGAAAGGAGACGGGCAGAGATATTTTAAGAAGGGAATAATTTAACATGTTGGGAAACGTGCATATTTGCTAGTGCAATTACAAATTCTGTGTCTAGTTCAAATCTGTGTGTTCATTGGAGAGCTGAGGCGGTGTGTAGCTTCACTTTTCAGTTATCCTAGAAATATGTCTTCATAAACAACATTTTTTCTTTTTCATTTGTTTGTATTGACATATTTAAGCCACCATATAAAAACACCTCTTTTGCAAATAATAGCTCAAAAACATGAAAATGTCATAAAAAAGAGCCAGGGGGCCCAGACCAGAACTGTGTGGAACCCCCTCGAATATATTAGTTAAGATAAGTTCCCAATTTCAATGTATGGAATGTTTTCTCTAATTTATTCTAATATATTTTTTTTATCTCTCCTGTGAGTAACTTCTGGTTTATGTTCATTTTATGTTTGTATATATTTGCTCACAGATATGGATCATTCTTTAAAAGTAGTCATCCTTGTACATACACAGAGCAAGAAGGCTCAATACAGGAAACCCTTAAAAAA